ATCAAAGTGCTGTGAATTTATGTAAAACAAATTTTAAACATGAATTAAAGGCATATTTGCATATTTCTTTTAATGTTTACACTTCCATTAAAAGGAATATACAAAATGAATGAAGGCATAAAAATTGTATAAATTAATTGAACAAAACTAGTTAAAGAGGACAGGGAGAGTAAGGAGTTTATTGAATTAAATAGGAAAGGCTTTCATAGAAACATGCTTAACCTCTTACCATCAGCTCCTGCTGGCCCATTAAGGCCCCTTTCACATGGGCGTCTGTCAGTTCCGATCAACAGGGATCTGTGCATGGATCCCCTGATGACCGGAGCAGTTTGAAACGGATGTCACTGCTGTCACATCTGTACCCATGCAGTTTTTTCCTCCATCTGGCAATGGGGAAAAAATTGAACTCACCGGACCCATGTTAGGCCTATGGGGAGTCTGATGTAAACTGACATGTGTCTGTTGACATCAGATTATCCCCAATCTGCCACAATCAAGTCCACTAATATGGAAATTTGCTACCTTTGGTTTTCTGGACCTTGACGGAGTCAGGGAAATCAGATGTAAACAGATGCACGTCCATTTAGATGTGGCTGCCCATAGCCTAACATTGGGCTTCCAATCCGATCCACCTAAAAACTGACAGGCAAACCTGATCGAAATGCCCATGTGAAAGGGCCCTAAAGGGTTTTTAATGCCGGAGGTTTTCCCCTGATCATGCTTCCTGATCATGTGATCTTTGTGATTGGCTGTCACAGCGATCACATGATCAGGAGCCTGTCCTATTAGCTCTCTAATGTATACAGTGGCTGGAAACTGCCGGTGTCGCCAAGTGAGCACTACCAGGACACAAGACACCTGCTCCGACTGTACACATGTATGTGGCAGCACAGAGTTAAAGCAGTGCTGCCACATATATGTGCATGGTCAGCGGCAACAGGTTAGTGAACCTCAGGCAACTAAACAATGTAGTTACTAATATGCATATATAAACTTTTTATCAAATGTCAGCATCTAAGCCCTCTTCTCTATCTCAAACCATGGCTGCTGATGTGCAGAAAGCAGTGACGCACAACTTTTACAGGAAGTTTAAAGGCATCAATGCTGTGCAAGAAGCAAGATGGTGACAATGAGGTGATAGTTCATATTTTGCAGTAGTTTTGTAAACAACAGAAATGGAAAGCATTGCTTTGAGCAACTCCTATGCAAAAAAATATAGATTCATTTAAACTAGCTGCTCCTGAGGGCTACAGCTAAATAACATTTTTTTAAATGTTTGTTTACATGATAACAACCGCTAAGCAGAAACACATGTTGCCTTGGTGCTTATAGCAGCTTTACTAAATAAATGAGGACCTTGGCTGTCAAGCCAATGGAAAAAGTACACCATAGGTGCTTGAAGGACTATTTAACCCCCATTTGTTTTTGCATATATCTACTGCTAGCAAGCAGTAGATATATGCAAAACGATTAAAAAAAAAAAAAAAAATTTCAAAGGGTTAATACTTACCTGTGTCTCTGCCACACGCTCCCGTCTGAACATCTGAAAATTTCTCGGGCGGCCGCAAAGGATCTGGGGGCAGGCGCATGCGCAGTTCAAATGTTCGGCCGGGAGACGAGGAGAGACACAAGGGAAGGCTATGGAGCAGCGTGCACCGGCACAGACTCCGTGGGACATTAGAGAAGAGGAGGACAGAGGAGTCAGCGCTGGATCGGAGGCCCGCACCAGCGCTGGCGGGACAGCTAAAAACTACAGGAAAAAGAAGAAAATCGGATTGAGAGGCACCATTTAAGGCAAGTCCTTAAAGTGACATTAAAGTCAAAAGTTGTTTCCCTCCCCCCAATGTTAATGTCAGCACTTACCTTAAATCATGTCTCTTAATCCTATCTTCCACTTCTTTCCTGTACTTTTCAACCTTCTCTGCAGCGCTGCGGAGGGTGTCCGATCCAGCGCTGACTCCTCTGTCCTTGCTGGCACTTCCGATCCCACGGTGTCTGCATGCGGGTGCACGCATCCATAGACTTACCTTGTGTCTCTCCTCGTCTCCAGGCCGAAAATCCGAACGGCGCATGCGCCCGCCCCAAGATGCCTTGCGGCCGCCCGAGCAGTTTCGGATTTTCGGGCGGGAGCGCGCGGCGAAGACAGGGTACGTTTAAACCGCTTTTTAAAGCGTGTTTTTTTTTTACTTTTTGCATATATCTACTGCTTGCTAGCCGTAGATATATGCAAAAAAAACGGAGGGTTTAGAAACCCTTTCATTTAGCACTGTGGAGGGGGGAATGAACTTTAGCCTTTAATGTCACTTTAACTGGGTAAAATATAGACCGATATTTTCATTATATTGAACAACTTCCACTGTGCTTTACAGTTGGTGTGAGGCTTTGGTGGTGCTATGCAGTGATTTGTTTTCTCCACATATAACACAGGCTATATATATCAAAATATTTCCCTTTTGTCTAATCTGTCCACAGCACTCCGATTAGAAAGTTTGTTCTCTAAAATTCAAGTAGTGTTGTACAGCAGTGTTTTGTGGAGTAGAGCAGTCGTTTTCTCCTTGGTTACCTCCTAAGAATACTACTTTTGTTCTGTGTTTCTTATGGTGGACTCATGCTATCACCAGGTGCCTGCAGATCATTAAAAGTTACCGTTGGGTTCTTTGTCACCTGTGTAGACTGCATGGTGTGCCTTTGCATTGATCTTGTACGACAACAACTCATATGGAGGGTAGCAGCCCATAAAAATGCTTCTTAAGGCTTTTGAGCAAGTAACTAGATTTGTTTTTTTCTGATTCAGTACAGCACATCAATATCCCTCTTTTGAAGATTTTCAAGAACAAATATTAAAAAAAAATGTGTTCAATAGAGATGGTGTCTCCTAAATAGGACTAACGTTAAAGATATCCTCACAGGTCACACTGTTTTGCCTGATGACGGAACCACACTGGTATGGAAACATTGTGATCTTTTGTGATGGCATGTTTATCTAATGTCAATAAAGTAAGGATTGATAATGTGGACCTCGGTGTGCTGGTGACCTTGTTACCTCTATTCCTAAATAGGTCTGTCTTAATTTTTTTAATGAATCAGATGGTTGGGTTGTATTCATTTTAGGAGCTATTCATGCAGAAATACTTTTAACCACTTCCTGAAGCTTGAGTAAACTAGGCCTTAGCATTCAAAGCACATTTTTATATGTGACTTCATAATATAAGCGTTAGAAAAATATAAACAAATATGCTTGTTATCTATACATTTTACACACAACTGACTTTTCTCTACTGCTTGACACATTAAAGGAAATACAGAGGCTACCATTATTGATCTTCTGTCTTTGACTGATGTTATGCTGATCCTCTGGCTTAAATGCTTTCTGACTCAGTGTAAATTAGGAAAATTGGAGAAAAGTCAGAAGTTATCAGTAAACATGTTCCAGGTATGAGTAACGGTGTTGAAACGAGAGGGTCAATTTATCAGTCAAGCAACCAGCATTTCAAGATAGGTCTGCAATGGCAGTCTCCATGAGTCCCTCATGTTGTTTCCTTTAAAGTGTTTCTAAAGCCAAAACTTTTTTATGTTGAATAAAGTGGTAAGGAGTTAGAACCTCTGCCAAGTTTTTCCTGCTGCAGTTTTTCCTGCTGGGGAAATTCATCCTCTATATTTATCCTATTGCCCATTGTCACTGGGACTGAAAGTGAAGGAAAGTCCAAACGTTTGAGTTATCACTAGAACAGGAATAAAAAAATAGATCTTCCAATGGGGACATTTGCTCCAGTGGCAACTGTCTAAAGCTGGCCATACACCTATAGATTATCTGCAGATTTTCTATGGTCAGATGGAAAAAGTGCAACAGATTCCTCCATCTATGCTAAACTGTGTGAATGGAGGAATCTCCCACTGGGCCAAGCTTCAGTATCTCTCTTGTCGGCCCAGCTGGATCTCAAAATACCTGAACAATGCCCGCATCCAATCAGATTGTTCAGGTATCCTGACAGCCAGCAGGGCCGACTAGCAAGATACTGAAGCTTTTCCCAGTGCGAGATTCCTCCATCCAAACAGTTTAGCGTAGATGGAGGAATCTGTTGCACTTTTTCCATCTGACCATAGAAAATCTGAGCATAATCTATAGGTGTAAGGCCAGCTTAAGAGGGGGATTTCTCTCACTTCAGAGATATTTTCTCTTAGTTTGTTTTGTGTCTACTGGACAGAAGGTGAAAGTAATAGATAAACTTTAGGCAAACAGTATGCTGTAGAAGCTGATTGCAATAACCTGCAGAAACCAATCATTCATCAAATTTCAGTAGCTTAGAGACTGGAGAGTAGGGCTGCAACAACTAATCGACATAATCGATTATAATCGATTATTGAAAAAGTTGTCAACTTTTTCAATAATCGATTAATCGGCTTCTGATCAGTTGGCCCTGTTCACGGCTCCACACACGCTGCACGCCGCACCTCCTCCCCATCTCACGCTCACCGTTTACTTCTACCGCTCCAAGCTCGCTCCTGTGATGGAGTGCAATCTCAATACAAACTAGTAGTCCATCACTGGAGCCATTTTTAAAAATGTATTTTATTGTTTATCCGATTAACCGATTAATCGAACTTAATAATCGGCTAACTAATCGATTTTGAAAATAATCGTTAGCTGCAGCTCTACTGGAGAGCCGCCAAAAGTCGATTTTAACTGAATTTGAAGTTTTTTTGTACCAAGTCAATGTAGATTTGAAATGTCATTCTTTACACATATAAAGAATAGATTATGTACTGTTTGCTAAAAGAAGAGAACAAAAATCACATCCTATAAAACAGTAAAAAGCAGAAGTTGAACCCCGAGAGTTGTGAATAACTCAAATAGTATATCTTATCTCCCCAGTAAGTTCAATTATGACATTCTAGAGGTCTTTGTTAAAATAAGTTGTGCACGGACTATTCAGTTACTAACAACTTGATACCATCCACAGCAACTATAGTTTCTAAGGTACATGATGTTTGTCACTTACCAAGTAAAGCCGGAGAGAGAGGAAATATAATGCGTCAGCACAAGATGATTTTCATGGTTGCACTTTTCTGTACATCTCCACTAAAAAAAAATACGGTGGAGGAACAGTGCTTTCTGTGTGTGTGCGGCTTAGGTTTTCACAGCAGATCTCACCACCAGGCACGAAGAGGAAAGAACACACTCTGTATAAGAGAGATAGAGTTCTGTGAAGTGACAATCATCACCACTTCCTGTCTGTAATATAGTCTCTCTTTGCTTCTGCTGTACTTTTAAGTTTATCATCCACACCCTCTCTAAAATTCACCTGCAATGTTAACGCCAGAATCTGACAATAAAATATACCATCATTGCAAAAAAAGGTTAATGCCGCACATTTTAATATAACAGACTGACTGACTAAAACTGATAGTCGACTTTTTGGGGGTAGATTAATCATCCAGAAGAATTTTTAACTGCTCAGGATCCGCTAGTCAGATCTCCCCAGTCTCCAAGAATCGAGAACCCCACTTGTCAATTCTACTCCCCACTCCCTTAGTATTGCTACTTCTGGTGTAACTGAAAAAGGGGTTTTACAATCTTACAAACTATAATCTACATCTTACCAATTTGTATGGAGATTGTAGTCTATCACGCTTGGAGCGGTGGCTACTTTACAACACACACAGGGACCATGGGGAACAAAAAGAAGCCACCCTCCAGAAGGAAGGACAATGTCAGCACCAATTCAGAGATGATTTGAGGATATATGGCTGAGTGATGCATTTTGTTAATAGTTAAGGTACTTCAATTTAATTTTAAGATGTAACTGTTTAGTGTCACTTTAAACTAGGGATGCACCGATACCGTTTTTTCGGTATCGAGTATGCGCACCGATATTTATATTTCTGTACTTGCCGATACATAGTACCGATACCGGTACTTCTGCCAGCATGTAGCCGGATTCCCGGGCAAAGAGTCATTACCCGCCACCTGGCTTCTTTATTTGGCTGGCTCCATGCTATTTAGCTGGCTCGATGCTGATTGGCTGGGAAGCTAGCTTCCAGCCGATCAGCATCGAGCTGGCTGTTTGGCCGGCTAAATGTTGATTAGCTGGGAAGCCGGTTTCCTGGCCAATCAGCATTGAGCCAACTTCCCAGCCAATCAGGTAATTATCCACCACCCGGCTTCCTGATTGGCTGGGAAGCTGGCTCCATGCTGTATGGCAGGCTCGATGCTAATTGGCATCGAGCTGGCCAAACAGTACGGAGCCGCCTTCCCGGCCAATCAGGAGGCCGGGCAGCGAGTCATTTCCCGCCGCCCAGTTTCCTGGCTGGTCAAGAAGCCGGCTCCATGTTCCCTCACAGCACTGCCGGTCAGAGGAAATCTCCCTCTGACTGGAAGTTCCGGTGTCAGGGAAGGTATCAGACCATTTGGCCGAGTACGAGTACTAGTATAGGTATCAGTGCATCCCTACTTTAAACATTAACATGCATTCAAATACCTTGATACACATGTACGGTACATTTTTGTTAATAGTTATGGTATTGAATGCATTTTTAAGATTTAACTCCAGAATATAGTGTCACTTTAACTCCTGAGGAAATCTTCATGACTTTCCTGCAAGTAGAACCTATCTGTGCTTGGAATGTTTAGGGAATATACAGAGTATAGAAATATAAAAAAGGAAACTGTGAGATTTTAGTAAAATACACATAATAAAATAAAACTGGAATAACTGGAATAAAATGCTTTTGTAAGTTCCTCCAAATGACTCATGTTTCATCTTCTGGTTTCGTTAAACCCAGTCACACATGGTTTTATTCCAGCTCATGTGTGGACTCTCTTCTTGAGACCACATGCAAGCTTCACGTGTGGCCACAAGGCAGTTAGGCCCAATTCACACCTAGGCGTATTGTAATATGTACATCTGTCGTGCGACCGTCACGCGGTTTTTTTACCGCGATTCGGAGTGGGCCGTTTTGTAGGTCGTTAGGGACGGGCGGAAATACGCCTAGGTGGGAACGAGGGCATTGACTACAATGCTATTTATTTTTTTGACCGTTTTGTAGCGCGTTCGTCGAGCGTAGGATGCGCTACAAAACGGTCAGGTGTGAACGGGGCCTTAGGCCTGTCGTATCAGATTTCTTTTGCAACAGTGTCACTGATTGTGAGGATACATCTGATGCAATGCAGTGTTGCTTTTTAGCGCATAATGGAATAGACAGACTTATTTTCTATGACAGTGTTAACCTTTGACAGTATGGTATGTAACCTACAATTGGATGACAGTTCTTATATTGCTTGTGAAGGGAGTTCAATGTTCTCTCTAAGGGCCTGTTCACACCATAATGTTGCACTAAACACACAGGATCTTTAGCGCACAATATCACACAGTGAGCTGCACTGCATGCTAGGTGTGCTGGTGAGTTGCAATTTATTTGAAAGGCACCCCAATGCACTTCTCGGTTGAACATGGTCACTGCGTGCGTGATGCCATTCAAATACATAGCGATGCAGCTAGCATGTGCTGCAGTGCACTGTGCAAAAGCGTGTGCTAAATGGTGTGAACAGGCCCTAAGAGTCTTCATGTTTTCCTTTTCAGACCATGTTTCATGTTACATCCATATCTGCCAAAAAACATGGTTACATCCCAACACCCCACCCCCAACCAGCCACCCCAACTTACATGAGTCACAGGGTTTTATTACCCCCAGGCTGCTGTCATTTTTATAATTTGGTTTGACACAGCTGTGAGTGGCTAGATGGGTATTTCCTATGCTCCTCGGCTTCCTCTAGTTGCCACAATGCAGTATTTACCTAACATTAAATTCGACCTGGAAAGAAAATATGGTAAAAAAAAAAATCATCTTTGCTGCCATTTACACAGAACAAATGTACAACCCCAATTCCCAAAAAGTTGGCGACACTGTGTAAAATCTTAATAAAAACAGAATGCAATGATTTGCATATCTCATAAACCCATGTTTTATTCAAAAGTTAAAAAAAAAAATATCAGATGTTTTAAATGAGCAAATGTACCATTTTAAGAGAAATTGATGTCAGCAACACATCTCAAAAAAATGGGACAGGGCCATGTTTACCGTGGTGTAGCATCCACTCTTCTTTTAACAACACTCTGTAAATGTCTGGGAACTGAATAGACCAGTTGCTGGAGTTTTAAGAGAGGAATGTTGGCCCAGTTTTGCCTGATCTAGGATTCTAACTGCTTAACAGTCCTGGGTCTTCTTTGTTGTATTTTTCTTTTCAAGATGTCCCAAATATTTCCAATTGGTGAAAAGTCTGTACTGCAGGCAGGCCAGCTAAGCACCACAATTTTTCTACTATGAAGCCATGCTGTTGTCACAGATGCAGTATGAGGTTTAGCATTGTCCTGCTGAAATATGCAAGGCCATCCCCGAAAAAGACGTTGTCTGGATGGGATCATATGCTGCTCTAAAATCTGGATATATCTTACACATGCACAATCACACACAGACACACAAAGGTTGAACTTGATGGACCTGTGTCTTTATTCAACCCCAGATACTATATATTGGTTTCCCCGCAGCACAGATCTCATGTATTGTGACTGCAGCTCAGAATTGAGGGAAGTCCTAGGTTTCTCCTTGGCTTTTGCTGTGAAGGGGGGGTGGAGTTCTTTCTGGGTGAAGCCCTTTGCTGGAAGCTTCCTATAGTGGGAGCTCTTTGATAAGGGGAATTCTGCTGGGGGTTGTTTTTTTCCGGAGGGGCGCTTGGTTGACGGGGTTCTTGTGGGGGAAGCTCTTTGCTGGGAGCTTCTTGTGGTAAGAGCTCTTTGCTTAGGGTATTTCTGCTGGGGTGTATTTTGTTATAGAAGATTGCTTTGCTGTGGGGGATCTTGCTTTGGGTAACTCTTGACTGTGAGCTTCTTGTGGGGGGAGTTCTATGCTGGATAGAAATTGCTTAAGGGAAGGAGGGGAGGATTTATGAAAGGGGGTCTTTCACAATCCTAGTTATACCCCTGTATGGTAGTTAATAGCAGCTGGAAACTACAGGTCCTTTTACATTTAACATAAAGACTTCTGAAAATTACATTGAAAGCAAGAGCATACCAAGTAAACCTGTCCTGATGTTATGTAAGGTTCCTGAAAATGCCTAGTCTGATCTTTGCCTTTAAATATTTGTGTACCCATTCTCCCCAGGAGCATCTTTATTTCCTGATTACACTTAAGGCTCCATTTACATATGGTGTTTGCGTTTTCCATGCGGTTTTTCAAGTTAAAGGGCGCGCCACACGAAAACGCACACATTTTTACATATGTGTGGATTACGCACGTTTGCGGCTATATACTATACCCGCAAACGTGCGGAATCCACTCCTAAAATCGCGCTCTGACTATTTTATGGGGCACGCGGTTTAGGGCTATGCGGACGCCGCAATAGTCTGAACAATGCACATTGAAATTGATTGGTTTTTTTTATGTTTACAGCGTTTCCACACGTAAAACCGCTCTTGTGTGAATGGAGCCTTACACCGGCCATGTCACAAGACAGATGAAAAGATGAACGACACTTAGGAAGCGCCTCCTCTGACTTTCAGTGTACTTTCTTTGTCAGTGCGGAAAATAGCAGATTGTGGCAGGGGGTCACGTCTCAGAACTTCCTCTCGTATATCTAGCTCACTACTCAAGCATAATCAACCGTTATGACTGTCACAGCTGAGCATTTTTGCTACATGCTGCTCAAGCAAATGTAACTTACATATAGTGATATAGTGTAAAGTAAACCTGTCACAAACATTGCCTATGCAAACTGAACAAATGTTTAAAAAAATACATAAGCAGAGGTTACTTTCAGTAAAAACCGCATGTCAAAATCATAACTAGATCTAGAGATAAAGGCAGCTCAAGTCACATGCAAATTTTAACATTTGACATTTGGTTTTCAGTCATGGTAACCTCTGTTTAACTGAAGTTTGAACCAGGTTTGCCTTAAAGAGACACTAAACTCAGGAGTTATATCTTATATATGCATTCAAATACCTTAACTATTAGCAAAAATGTATCTTATTTGTGTATTACTCAGCTGTAGATCCTCAGATCATCTCTGAATTGGTGCTGACACTGTTCTTCCTTCTGGAGGGTGGCTACTTTTGTTCCCCATGGTCCCTGTGTTTGTTGTAAAGTAGTCAGCGCTGCTCCAAGCTCACTCCTGTGATGGACTACAATCTCACATTTACTTTACTAGTTTATGGGGAAATATGTTTTTCCTTTCTGTTAGTGTGACAAGCAGTGAAAAGAAGTAGGACAGAGAGCATTCAAGTGTCATAAAAAGGCCACCAAAGGCCCTTACCACATGACAGTATAATCATAACAGAATGACAGCAGTTTAAAAAAAAAAAGAGGCTGCGCTTTCACAATGTACACTAGTATCACAAGTTTTATATGTTGCAGGTCTTGCTGCAGTCTTGGAGAATTTGGAAGCCGGCGTGACAGGAAATGAGATGGTGAATTTGCAGTAATGAGTGTTTCACAATTTCTTCTATTATGCAATTTGTGCTTCATGGACTTTTATTGGTAATACACAGAAACTAGTCAGAAACACGTTGTCTGCAACAAAAAAAGACAAAAATAGTTTCAAGGACGCAAAAAAAACTTTTGGTTAACTTTTGAGAAAACGTTTTTTGTTTTAATTGGATTTGCTAGAAATATAGATGGATACATTGAGAGTGCATTGGAAAAAGAAAGACTTTTTGAACAAGTAAAGGTACAACCTGTAATTGAGTAAAACAGGAAGTTAAAGTTCTCACACTTTTGGAGTGTATGTAAACCTTACAATTAACTTCTCCTATTTGCTCCCTTTTGGTCTGTTAAAGAAGAAGGTTGAGGTGAATGAAAAATTACACATTCATATTTTCCCAATGCTTAAGGGCCCATTCACACGGTGTGCACATCCATACAGCGTGGACGCCCATGCAGAGACCTGCTCGCAGGAAGAGCAGGTGCTGTGTGTAGTTGCATGCAGTTGCCTGTACCGCCCTATGGGGTTACATGCAGACCTGAACCTGCACATCCATGCAGGTCTGGGTGCCCGCACTTGGATGCAGACAGTGTCGTTCAAGTGCAGGCACACAGACCTGACTGGTTGTGAATGAGCCCTTAGCATCCATGTGATGTTGCAGCTGTCCCTGATGCTGGCCATACACTTTGTTCGATTTCCCCAACGTGGATGGGGTAATCACCCCGTTGGGTATTTTTTTTTTTTCTTTATAAATGTCATTTTTGCTGCAGCAGGTTCTATACATTGTACAGATGTGCCACTTTACAAGCAGTTTAAGGGGACCCCCCAGGCACGATATTTAAAGGAATTTTTTAATCTTTTCCAAAGCATTAGATGGTGCCAAAATTTGGAATGATGCGTCACTCGAAATTCTAACATTCGTTTTTAGGATAGTTTACATGAATGTTTGTGATAACAAAAGTTCTACTTCTGGTTTTCAAGCACATGCGCATTACAATAATTAAGATTTTTCCTGGCTCGGAACCACATTCACAGTTAGAATTTTTGTTCGGTCAGATAAGAATCTGATAAGAATTGAAAAATGTACATCTTTATCCTTCGATTTTTCAGTTCTGTGATTGGAGAGGGTGCGGATGAACATCACAATCTCCCCTCCTCCAATCACAGAATGCCTTGCATTTATTGAAAAAATGGAGTATACGGTACAGCGAGCCATTCACTGTGATCATCGTACTGCAGCCGCAACTTGAAATCTCAGCGCCAGACGTTCAGCACTGACTGTAACTAAGAGATGTAATGAAACACTGCAGTGGCCAGAAATAAGGCACACTTCCTCGATGGTAATTTATTATTACTGTGCAAATATACTAAATTCGTTTTTGGCCGGAGTTTAACTTTAAGCAATGCAAGAGCAATGGGCATAGCAGTAAGAAGCCTTATACTCAGAGGTTATCTACATAGCTAACACGAAGATAGAAAAGATAACAGAGAACATTCAGATAAGAAGACACGTTTTAAGAATATACAATCCTAAGATGAGAAAGTTTTGAGCAGCCATCATCAAAAGAGACTCAAGTGGTGAAGCTATGGGGTGAGCAACAAGATAATGACATTATAAGTTATTTTAAAGTGACCCTGCTGCTATAAAAACAAAATTAAATCAAGCCTTACCTGCACTCTCCTGCAGCTCTCACTGGTCCCTCCCTCTGACTTATACCCGTTACAGAGTACAGTGGTGACAAGGAGGTCAGCAGGATAACCGGTGAAAGCTGTAAGTGACCCAAGAGGATTCAGCAGCAAGACAGATGTGTATGTATATATATATATAAATAAAGGGAAGTCTTGGCCTAAATATTGTTGTATTGTACCAGGGTTACTTTGAATATCTAATGGGTGTGATGTGGAGGGACTGCACACACGTCATTTTCTGCATTTATTTGTAACCATTTCCAACAAGATATTTGAACAAAAGGGCAGTGTTCACTGAGCTGTTCAAATGTCTTTGCAGGCAGGCTAAAAAAAAAGTTTTTTTTGCAGGGTTTCCATAATCTATTCACATTCTTAATGTTTATCACATTAATGATAATAAACTACCTTGAGATCCTGCCTTCTCCCTGCTTGGAACATTGTTTCTGGTGCTGGGCCAACAATGCTACTCAGCGACTATTTAAATAGCTGATTCCCCCTAGCGTTGATGGTACCCAGAAGCTTCATTCTGTATAGAAAAGTCTGGGACTGGGACATTTCCTTGGGCAGGTTTGGACTGCATTCAGTCTGAACCTGAGCTGATCACTATTTATTATTTATAGAAAATTCTGGGTCCTCTACTGCGCATGTGCTAGCTGCCACACTTCATTATTTGGGATGATGTCACGGGAGCCATGTACCTGCTGTGAGACCGAAGTAGTGGGGAGGCCTCCCTTGCACCTCGGGTCCTTGAAGTCTCTGGAGATGGAGACAGAGACTTGGTGGACACCGAGTGGCACGGGTGCCAGGCACCGGGCAAGCCTTAGTCCGAGATCCGAGCCGAGGTCAAGTCCACTCTGGCAACGAAGTACACAAGGGTTAATCAGAAGAATGGTCGAGATCCAAGCCGGGGTCGGTTCCAATCTGGCAGCTCAGTACAAAAGGGGCAAAGAAGTAGAATGGTCAAGGTACAAATCCGAGGTCAATGGCAGGCAGCAATCAAGAGTAGTCTCTTTCACTCTTTTCCACCAGCAGCTGTTTGAAGTGCTTTCACAACCAGCCTTTACATCTGTCCTGTATGGAAACCTCCCACCGCCGCTTACATAAGAATGGACCTGGAAGATGGTTGAGCTGTCACATGACCACAAAGAAAATCAATAAAGTTTTATTTTAATCACTTTTTATTAAGGACAAAGCAGAAAGTGAGAAAGCAATAAGACAAGGATGATTTTGGCCAGTGGTTATACACTGGCTTTTCTTCTACTTTACGTTCACATTCACACCTGGGCGGTCTTTGAATCCGTGCCAAAGCGCAATGTTCGTGGATGTTTGGCTTTCACATAAACTCAGCAAAATGCGCTTGCATTGCCAATAATCTCTAATGGCACCCAAAAAGCAGCCAGAAAGATGCGTGCTTTTGCTCTGCCTTTGTGCGCATGCAAACACGGACAAATGCGGAAGCAAAAGTGCAGAACACGTGTGGTAAAATGTGCCACATTAGCTTTTTTGCCACCTGTGCAGGTCCCAGTGAACTCAATGGGGTCGTGTGGGGAACGCACACAAACATGTTGACATGTTGACAGAATGCAAGGTAATCGTTTCCTAAACTTCCACAAGCATGTGTGAAAAGTTTCAGTGTGATGCTACAGCACTCATAGCGGAAATAGTTTCCTGGGAAGCTTAGATGCCTGGCCGGTGTACCAGAGAACTAAGACACATGTGTAACAGTTTAATTTGAACAGTTTAATTAAACATTTGAATTATTGTTCCCATGATATGGATACTAATCTCAACGGATAAACAGACTGACACATTGGCTGGATGACATATTATGTGGCAGTGGTCACTGGTCAGAAAATCTTCCCTGTGACTTATGTAGCACAGCTTGTCCCGGAAAGCTTTAGCACGCACTGTGTAGGAACCGGGACAAACCTCCGCACGCATTTACGTCATCACGCAGATAGCGACCCATTGATTTATGGAAAATGTAGTTTTGAGGTCCCGCTGGCCGTGTGCGATTATTACGAACATGAAGCTTTCGGACTCGCATTCCCGGCATCCCCCGCGGCCCATGTGCTGGTAGGCTTTCAGTTGGTTACATCAGCTGTGCTGGGAAGTCTGGTGCCGGTTGTTGGTGATTGAGATTCAGTGAACCGGCATGAAGCTGTTCGTGAGTGAGGGGAACCCGCACGGGGTGAAGGTGCTGGCTGCCGCCGGTCTTTGGGCCGCACAGGTGGAGATCCAGAGACTGCAGCAGGAGGGTGAGAAGGGGATAGTGCAGGGGTTCTCATGATAGGAGATCCATCTGACTGTTCTAGGAAATGATTACAGTTTGCAGGGTTAGTGAATCTTACATCACATGGACACCAATACTTAAATATAGTTCTGAAATATAATACATTTATTTAAGGTCCTGGTAGTAAGTGGCAGAGGTACATCAGGGGTACTTACAGTATATAACAGGCTTTTATAGTGCCAATTCACACCAGATGTGTTGGGGCTGCGCTGACCGTCGTCTTCACAGCTCCTACACTGCAAAATGCCTTGTTTACTGTGAGCCCAGTCCTGATCGGAAGCCCAATGTTAGTCTTTAGGCAGCTGGAATCAATGGAATGGGCGTTCATTTACATCTGGTAACCCCCGGTTCCGGTCACTTCTGGAAAAACAAACAAATCACTGTTCCGTTTTGCCGAACCTGATTGTGCTGGATCTGGGGCCATCTACATCCGACATGGGTCCAGTCATTTCTGGACATACACGGATGCCACAACGACATCTGTTACTATCAGCATCTAATCCTGATTGCACTGCATGAAAGGGGCCTTCATTTTCAGTGGCACACTAAAGCTGGCTATACACCTATAGACTTTCTGCAGATTTTCTATGGTCAAATGGAAAAGGTGCAACAGATTCCTCTGTCTACGCTAAACTGTGTGGATGGAGGAATCTCCAGCACGGCCAAGCTTCAACATCTTGCTAGTCGGCCCCGCTGGTTGTCAAAATACCTGAACAATCTGATTGGATGCAGCCATTGTTCAGGGATTTTGAGAGCCAGCGGGGACGACTAGCAAGACACTGAAGCTTGGATGGGTGGAGATTCCTCCATCCACGCAGTTTAGCGGAGACATAGGAATCTGTTGCACTTTTATCCATCTGACCAGAGAAAATCAGCAGAAAATCTATAGGTGTATGGCCAGCTTTACACAACAACAGCACAATGCACAGTAACACACTTTGTTAGTTACATCGTTGGGTTGAAAAAAAGACACAAGTCCAAGTTTAACCTACAGAGTTATTGTGAGTTTTATTTTTATTTTGCCCTGCTTTAAAAAGCCATTAAAAGATCCATGCAAAAAAAAAAAACACTCACTAAACCCTGGATTCTAACCCTTCCGGGAGCTGAAAGTGACATGGGTGCTTAGAATCCATTGAGAATACACACCTGCAGTGGGCTGGAGCACATGCTTGCAGGATTTTGAGTGCCCAGCTCTACCAGAATGCACAGTAATGTCAATGGGTCTCGCAGAAGCCCCAAGCCAAGGTCTTTTGTTTTGTTTTTTACCCAAACCTTTTTTTTTTTTTTTAATGATGACCTTTTAAGCCATTTGTTTAGAGGATGGTAAAGGGGGCGGTCAGTAGAGCAGACCTTTTTTATTTTTAGGAAAGGTCATCTTAAAATGCCACCCTGATCCCTAGGATTATTGAAGTGCACCTGTCCCTGACCCATGCAAGGCCAGGCACTTACATTTTGTGTGAACCTGATCAGTAAAATTTTATATTTGAGTTAATGTTTAATGTCATTTTTAATATTTGTAAATCTGAAGCATTTCTAGACAATACCTGGAGATCTGCCGTGAAGGGCCTTGTGCAGGACAGCTCTATATAGGGTGACAACTTTGTGTCCCTGTCTACCAGTCATCCTCTTTCATTGTCACCCTGTCAAATGGGCCTCCACTGGAGACAAGTGGACTGTTCACCAGCTTTCATTTTCCACAGATTTATGACTTAACAGTTATTTGTTTAGAACCTCCACATAGATGTCTCCAACATCAATACTTTGTCAATGACCTGGAGCAGTTCTGCAACTAAGACACCACGCCTGATCTCAATATTTTCACATTTACACCGAAAATCTGGTTAAATATCTTGCCAGCCAGGAATGTAACGTTTTCAGAAGGAGAGATCTGCAGTATCATCTTCTCTCAATACAGTTTTACTTTAAAATTAAAATCTGAATATCTGCACTATTGACTCGGCATGTTTTTCTAGTGGCTGCTGTGTGTTTAATTTATTGTAAAGCTCTTTACCACTAAAGTATTTGTGCATGATTTGACTTGTCTTGTTCTCTCCCAGAAAAAGTCGTTCCTTTCTTGTCACAGCCCAAACTGCCAGCACTAGAGCTCGATGATGGGAATTTTCTTTTTACTTCAAATGCAATCTGTAGGTGAGTATTCAGAAGTTATCAATAGACATTTTTTTTCTTATTTCAGCTTACAGTGTGAAAAGTTTATTGGAAAAAGTAACACCAAAAGTCATCATTTCAGAATTGATCTACAGCTAAATACACTATTTGATTGGCCTGGATAGGTTTGAAATTTCACTGTGATTTTGTTCCCCTTCATCTTAGATTTGCTTCTGCAAAATCAGTTGGGCCCCATTCACACTTGCGATTGGGGCAGTCTCACAAATTCCTCCATGAGACTCTGGCATTCATGCAAACAACTGGGGCAGTCTCCAGAATTACATCATGAAACTCATGCGATCAGCTGCGGATGGGAAGCACTATACAAAGCGATGCAGCAATTACCTGTCAATGATCGCCCCTGGATATAAACAGTGTGTTTCCAGGAGAGATCATGCGCAGTTAATCACTGCCTGTCTGATGCGAACGGCTGCAGGTGCTGACATCTGTCATTGCTTTTGTATTATTGCTTCCAGTCCACAGCGGTTTGCATGAGTATCAAAGAGGAGTTCATGATACTTCCCCAATTGCAAGTGTGAATGGGGCCTTAAGATATCAAATTGGTGTTAAAAATAGCAATGACTAGATTTGATCAGAATGTTCTGGTTTTATTGATCAATACATGTAGGGTTAGAAAAACGCTGCCAGGCAGTCAATCATATACCAACTTTCAATTTCAAAGAGTAGGAGTCCCAAAACAAGGTCAGTGCTCTGCTTTTATAAGTGTGTTTTTTTTAAAGTGACACTTTAAAGTTAAATCTTAAAAATGCATTCCAATATCTAAACTAATAACAAAACTGTACCATGTTCTGTGCATCACTCAGCTTTAGAGCCTCAAATCATTTCTAAATGTGTGCAGACACTGTCCTTCCTTCTGGAGGGTGGTTACTTCTAGTGGCTTCTACAATCTCACATTTAGTTTACTAATTTGTATTGAGATTGTAGTCCATCAAGAGAGCGAGCTTGGAAAGGTGGCTACTTTACAACACACAGGCAGCATGGGGAACAAAAGTAGCCATCCTCCAGAAGGAAGGACAATGTCAGCACAGCTAGGTGATGCACAGGAATAGGGTACATTTTTATTAGTTCAGGTACTTGAATGCATTTTTAAGGTTTAACTCCAGAGTTTAGTGTCACTTTAGAGTAGGGATGCACCGATATATCGGCCGAAAATGGCACTTTTGGCAAAATGCTGAAAGTGCAATTTTTCGGCCGATATAGCAGCGCATCCCTGCTTTCTCTCCTCCCCGCTGGGCGCTGCTCTGTGCCCCAGCAGGGAGGAGAGAAACTGTCACAAGCGGCCCAGAGCTGCGGGAGGAGAGTGCTGTGAGCGCCGGCATCTCTCCTTCCCCGCACCGCTCGCTCAGCTTCCTGTGACAGCTGTCAGGAAGGAGAGCGAGGTACAAACACTGAGCGATTGCTGAGTGTTTGTAAATAAGAGGACACAGTATGTTTACTATATCCTCAATTATGAATGGGAGTGATCTACATCACCTCCTGTTCATTCATGTTTGTGGATATAGTAAACATACTCTGTCCTCATGTTATGAATGAAAAGGAACACTCAGTATAGAGGATTCCTGTTCATTGATAACAGGGGCTGCAGAAAAATAAAATTTGAGGCCTGTGTTCTCAATCTTTTCTATTTTAAAGGAAATATCAGGGTTCTGTTTAGACCCCTAATATTTCTCCAAAGCCCCTAAAAGTAAAGTAAAAAAATAAAAATATTTAATAAAATATAAAAAAAATTATGTATATTTTCTAAGCTTTGAAAAAGTTAGAAAAATGTTTTTTTCCGGTTTCGGCCCAGCAGTTTTTTATCATTTCGGTTTTAACATTTTTCATTTCGGTGCACCTCTACTTTAAAAGTAGAAAGATGGTGCTGGTTAGGCCATGGCAGTGTTTTATAATTGGGTCTTTATGGACATGGAAACAGGACTAATAAGGGGAAGTTAACGTTTCTATTTTGTTTGTAGGTGTTTTTCCTTGTCTGCTGAGAAAGAGCCGAGTGACCTCATTAATCAGTGGCTAGAGTGGGAAGCTACAGAGCTGCAGGTACGTTGCCTGTGCATGTTGGTACTTGCCACACAGTTACAAAATATAATTTGGCCTGCGAAAACATGTTTTGTTTGTGTTGTTCCAGCCATCTATCTCTGCTGCTTTGTATGCTCATGTGGTGCAGGGGAAGAAGAAAGAAGAGGTACTACAAACAGTTAATAAGTCTCTTATCTACATTGCTCAAAAGCTTACAAAGAAAGCATACCTTGCTGGTGTAAGTATAAAGCAAAACTTGTGAACATTTTTCTTGCACTCCCCTCACTGGTCACTTGTTTTCCCGATCTTCATCAAGCTCAGAATCTTTGGCCATCTTGATTAGCCATGCCAAGGTGAAGTTAGACATAAGGGGACATGCAAGGGAGTTACTTTGTCCTGGTACAGAATCGTTCCAGAACTGCATGCCCGGCTTAGTATACACTAATAGAAAAAAGTGCTGAAAGGCAGGTTGAAGTATTTATGGCTGAAGAGACTACAGCCTCTTCTGCCGCAAACACTTACAAATTCAAAAAAGAGGAATTTACTTCCCTATAATGCAGCTATTAATAACCCTTTTATTGGTTAGCACTTCTGCCTTCTAGCACTGGAGTCTCCAGTTTAAATTAAGGGTTGGGCATGTTTGCATGGAGTTTGCATGTTCTTCATGTGCTTTCTCCCTGGGTTTCCTCCCATGACACAGTCCTTGATCCTCTTTTAGATTTGTTTGTCCAGGTGACTCTTTTTTTACAGGGCAGAAAGTTATAGGAAATCCAGAATTTAACAGGTGTTACCGGTACAGGAGGTGGGGTATCTTAATGAGAACACCTGACAACCATTTCTAAAATGGGATTTTATTTCACTTGCTATTATGTTTCTGGGATAGGAATTGAAGGGAAATCTTTCCAATGAGATACAGGCAGCAAAAAAACCCGACTATGTACCTAAAGACCTGAATTTAGGTCTGGTAGTCACCTTTGCGGTTGCTATTCTAAAAATGGCCACCTAAACCATGCCCCTCCACAACATCCCAAATCAGGGGTGTGGAATTCCTATCGCCTGGGATAGGTGTTTCAGGCGCCGGGCGAGTAGTTTTTTTTAATACATTTAGCCCTGCTCCGGACAAGCAGAGCTAAATGTATATTGTGGAGCGGCCGCTTGTTTTCATACAAGTGTTCTGATCAGATCACTTGTATGAGACGAGAATCGGCGATCCTGTCCGGCCCCCCTGCCGTGGTTTTCCGGCGTCCCCCGCTCCTCTGGGGTACCCGTGACCACGGGAGCTCACAATAGAGCCCGCAGAGCAGCCGAAGAACATCCGTTCTTCGTCTGCTCTGTGTGATCACTGAGAACGTGGTGTTGTGATCACAGCGCCACCTGTCTCGGCTGTCAGGAACTACACTACATCTGTTCTGTTTTGGAGGGCAGGTTCCATAAAGAGAACCTGTCACCTCCAAAAGTATCACATGGAGGATTTTAACATCCTATGTGATAGGAATAAAATGAAGTGGGGGGAGTAAAAAAATAATAAAAATTAGATTTTTTTTTTAAAAAGTCAAAAATAATAAAATATATAAAGATTAAAAAAATTGACAAAGTAAAAAAATAAAAACAACTCCGCTGCCCCTGCCATCTGCATGCAAATAAATGCACGCATAGGAAATTGTGTGTGTTGAGTCCTGCCGCCATTTCACTGTGTGCCATAGTGTGGTAGCCATGCAGCAGAACTAACTCTCACACGCATGCTTTACTTAACTTTCTGCAAACAGTCCTTACCCTTCGCCAGTACAGGTGTCCTTACCCCGTACTGTCCAGCGCAGTCCTGCCATATGCATTTTGAATTTTGCTCGCAATTTGCAAGCCCTCATTGGTCAGCGTTGTCAGGTGACCACGCTGACCAATGAGAAGCGCTATTTAGCACTGTCAAATACAGTTCTGATTAGGGATGCACAGATACGGAGTATTTGGGCTAGTACTTGTACTCGCCCGAATGCTCAGATACCTTCCCCAATACTGGAACTTCCGGTCAGGGGAAAATTTCCTCCGACCGGCAGTGCCGTAGGGGAAGCCGGGCAGTGACTAAGGACCCGCCTCCCAGTTTCCTGATTGGCCGGGAAGCCAGCTCCTTGCTGATTGGCTGCTAATCAGCATCGTGCCATCTTCCCGGCCAATCGGGTCATTACTCTCCGCCCGGTTTCCTGATTGGCTAGCAAGCTGGCTCGATGCTGATTGGCCAGGAAACCGGCTTCCTAGCCATTCACAATCAAGCCGGCTCACAACATGGAGTCGGCTTCCCTGGCAGTCAGGAAGCTGGGTAGCATCTCATTACCCACTGCCTGGCTCCCTGATTGCCCGGTAAGCCTGCTGCATGCCAACAGAAGCACCGATACTCAGTGAGTACTGAAAGCAAAATATCGGTACTCGTACTCGATACCCAAAAACTGGTATGGGTGCGTCCCTAGTTTTAAACTTTTAAAACTATTTTTTTTTGTATTGGGACAAGTAGATTGTCATGAAGGACAAGTAGGTTTGACTCCCACTTTAGCCCTTGGACAAGTAGTTTTTTCAAAAATTTCCACACCCCTGCAAATGCCTCCTGTATATGTATCTGCAGTATCAGTAATTGCATGCATTAGCTGAAATGTAAGAATTGGCCTAGTCATTAATGGGTAAACAACTGCTAGTGGTTAAAGAAGAGGCACTGTTTGCATACCCAGCATAGCAGGCACAAGTGTTAAATGGTTGCAGTTCGGAATTTAACTCCTTGGCATTCAGTCTTTTGGAGACCTCACTGAAACCATGAATAAAGATTGCATAGTCTCAAGCAAATGGTGGCTGTGTCTGCTGCTGTCACTCACAATCTATAGGGAAAGCGCAGCATTCAGACCTGTATTGGTTTACAGGAGTTCTAATTTACACAATAAAATAACATGATTCCTGTTGCATACCTCTAATAATAATAAGCATGATATTCAGTTTACGTTTTCATTATTTGACTTTTATTAGAAAGTAATTTAATTTCTTTGGTAGCGTTTCCAGCAAAGATGATGTATATCCACATGCAGCCCCTGCAATGCATTGTCCTTCTGTGTTTTTTTGTTTTTATATAGCATTAGTAACTTCGGACCTCTTGAGTTTCTGTTGCTGTCTGGGTCTAGGATTTTTTCCTCTAATTTCTTATCCCAGTAACCTCTGCCATTACAACAGGAAGTGAGGCAAAAACTCTTCAGTGGAGACAATGATCGCAATAAAATCTTGACTGGTTCAACCCCTTCCCTAACTCTTGAAAAGAAAATTATTTTGTACAGAGTTCATATTTTAACTGTGGATGTATTTTGTAGGATGCACTGTCAGTTGCTGATATTGTGGTTTGGGGAGCCATATACCCTCTCATTGTAGATGGAGCAAGCCTGCCAGGTAAAGTTTAGCTGTGTAACGTATAACAAATGTTTTAAGACTTGTATTTTCTAATCTTGTAGTCTTGTAAAGCTCCATATTTGAGTAGCTCATAAAGTTCTAGGTCCTAGCATGTGGTGTCTACAAGTGGCTGTAAGTCTTCCAGTCAATTCTTGTGGATCCCTCCCCTCTTCTGATGCCAAGCTCCACCTGATTTTGATCCCTGATCCATGCTTCCAGCTGTCAAATATCAGAACCTAGTGTGCAATAGAAGTGCTGCCATTTGAATGCTGAATGCCAGGGGTGAAGCTTAAGGCTGGATGCGGGCAAACCTCTATGTATAGCCTGAGCCTCCGGAATACAGGAATTTTATTTGAGGACTATCACAGGTACTTGACGTCAACACAAGGACTTCAGAATTGACAAGACTTCAGCATAGTTGCAAAACTGATTGTACATTCACTACATTATTTCTCTGCTTTGTGTTAGTAGACATAATAAATGCAATCAGGACCTATTTTTACATGCATGTTTTTAAGTACAATTGTGCTTGTATACTTTTGTGTTTTTAGAGGAGCTCTCATCTTTAAAGAGCTGGTTTAAAAATGTAACCGAATTAGACCAATGTCTAAAAGCTGCTGAATCGCTTCTGAAAGGCCAGGGTCCCTCTGTGTTTAAAGCATTTCTCCAAAAGCTTCCCGCACCTGTACTGGTGTCTGAGAAATCTCTCTCCAATGAGCAGGAGGTAAGTGGCTTTTTTTGGCTCTCAAAAATCCTCTCTTGCAAGATTATTATTTTTAGCCCTTTAGTGGAAGCCTAAAGCTTTTCTATGGTTATGGTTTATATATTCTGTATATACTTAAAGGGTAACTCTACATTATAAAAATAAAAAGCTTAAAAAATTAGTACATGCAGTCCCCGACTTACGGACAACCCGTACTTACGAACCGAGTTCCACAGTTCTCCCAAATGTACCGGCAGCTGCCGGTACATTTAGGAGAACTGTGGCTGCAGCGGCCTGTGTCCCTTCAAATCCCCGCCTGTGTCGGCGGTGACACAGACTGTTGCATTCCTCCGCTGCCCCCCGTACTACCGCTGCTGTCCCGGCCCAGTTCCTCCACTCGCTGTCCAGGCCGGTTCCTCCGCTTCTTCGCCTGGTCCGCCCGCTCCCCTGCGTTGTCTTCATCTGTCACCAAAAGAAAGCTCTATCTGTCCCCAAAAAATGGTATGAAAATCGTTTCAGTAAAGCGTTGCATGACAGAATAAACATCAGTCAAAGTACCGCAGCGCTGAATACTGAAAAATGGCCTGGCCAGGAAGGGGGTGAAACACTATGGCCTTTAAGTGGTTAAAAAAATAAAATTAAAAAGACAAATTTTTTAAAAAAAAGTTAAATAAAAATGCAAACAAAAAAAAACAAAGGTTTATAAAATTAAAAATGGAAAAAACTTTTTTTGGTGTAATTTTAAATAAAAGTATTTTTTTTTTTTTTTTTTTTAATTTTTTTAATCTTCTGAACAACGGGAACAGACAGTAAAACGTTTTTTTTTTTGCTGGAGTTACACTTAATGTACATGTTCCGACTTACATACAAATTCAACTTAAGTAGAAACCTACAGTCCCTATCTTGTATGTAACCTGGGGACTGCCTGTTTAATATGTATAACTGGCACACAAGCCATTTTGTAATTTATTTTAATTTAAAATGACCTTTCCATTTAAAACTGAAGCTGCTGAAAAAAAAAATGCAGTGCAATATGGAGACCTGGAGTCGTTCCATACACAGTTGGTGTACGGAATACCCCCAGAAATGTAACTTCCTTCTTCTGTGATTGTGATCCTAACAATGACTAGCTGTAACTGCAGAAGGTTGCATTTGCAGTCAGAATTGGTGGTAATTCAGTTTCTTTTAATCTATTCTAAGGGTGAAGATACACCTGCCCGATTGCTGTCTGAGGAGGATATTGCTGCAGCTGCTGAAGCTTGGAAGAAAGGTCTAGCTGAAGCTCCAAAGCCAAAACCGCAGCAGCACCCAATGTGAGTATCTTAAGAACGTGTACCACGAATTAACTTGGCCCACAGTCAGTGTATACAGGTCTATGGGGCTCGCAGTGTATACAGGTCTATGGGCTAACATAGAACTGTATAACAATGTGAAATGTACTAGGCAGCTGAACTTTTCAAGTAAGGCAGACTGAAGAACACCCCAGTCACAACTGATGCATTCACATAGGCTTTTGTGCCTTCTCCATTTAGTTTCACAACATTGCTGTGTGGATTCATCTAGTTTAGAGAGTATCTCCGGGCAATTGTTTTTTTTTTTGGTTATGGAAGGAAACATTTAAAACTCCTGTCAAGTTGTTTTTTTTTTTTTCTTATGTTCGTTGTGCCCTGAGTGTGAATTTCCTTTCGGTTACTGCTGGAAATGTCCAATTTTCTATCCTTAAAAGCCCAAGCTATATAATGCTAGACATGCACGCATTGATTTTGAGAAATCTAATGTGTTCTTCCATCCACGTTAATGAGTGTGGATGAAGAAATCTCCACCTGCCGGCTATTTTATTCAGACACCAGGCACCTGCGACTCTGAATTGTATGTAGAGTGACTAGTTTGGCCGATTTATTAGTTTATTATAAAGTTTATTGATTTAGTTTATTTATTAGTTTATTATAAAGTTTATTGATTTAGTTTATTATAAAGTTTATTGATTTAGTTTATTTATTAGTTTATTATAAACTAGTGTAGTTTGGCCGATTTTTATTAGTCAGATTTTTTTAACCCGGTGGTGCCAACAGGGCCACCCAGTGCTTGAATTTGGGCAGATTCAGCATGAATCAGCTGGAATTCAAGCCATGTACCTTTTTTAGCCGTGGGTCTGGACTAGAATACAACATTTCTAGATGCAGTAGCAGCTTTAGCTATTTGGGTTTATGTAAACTATGCAGTCAGTAATGAAAGGGGACCATCGTAATTTGCCATATCATTAAATTAAGTTCTTAAAGTGGGTGCAAACCTGAAATAAATAACACTTCATTTGCTAAAGCGAACAATTGCATTTTTTAAATACTTGTTTACACCTTTTCGAATCCTTTGCTGTCTCTCCAGCAAGCTTGCTGCTTATCTCCTGTCACTTCCTGTCTGCAAATACTCCAGCGATAGCTGCATGGCATTTCTTAGGACAGGTCTCCTGATGGTGACCCTATAATAGGAAGTGTTTAAACCTTTTTGAACCTTTTTTTTTTGAATGCAAACGGCAGATATACATATGTTGAAGATGACTTTTCAAATCACATTAGCATGTTAAAGGTCCTATGAGATTTTAGCGTTTTGTTTTACATATACTTAAAGTGACATTATCAATTTAGAACAATAACGTGCTTCTTCAGACTTCTGATAACTTATTCTCTTCCTTCCAGCCTGCCCATAGAAGGCGAGAAAAACTTACTGATTACCAGTGCATTACCCTATGTGAATAATGTCCCTCACTTGGGGAACATCATTGGCTCTGTGCTCAGTGCTGATGTCTTTGCCAGGTAAGCTGTAATGTTTGATGACATTTGAATATTTGCAACCAGTTATACTTCATGTAGTGCCAAATAAAAACAAGAATGTGTACTATTGTTGTAGGACATCAGTCCTGATGGTTTAATATGCATGGGACAAGATGAGGCCTTTACTTGGTCAGTGAGAGATGGCAAGCTGGAGTGGCATTTCCTTTCAGTAACCATTTTTGTTGCCCAATTCTCCTTGTCTGTATGATGAATGTTTCACAGACCTTAGTGAGAAACGCTCAATGGTCTATCACAGGGAGCAGTTGTAAGTTGGAGCTAAAAGTGTATGGCATGATATTTTTAGAAATTTGGTCATGTTGCTGAACTACACACACACACACACATCAAGAACATGTTTTTTGTTTTTTTTTACCCGAAGTTTAATTAGCATTCCAGTTTTGTAATCTTTTCTGCTTAGATTTTTGAAAACCATGGGGTACATCTCAGAGTTTAAAAGCATAACTTCTTGACTATAAAATCGGATTATTTTGCATGCGAGTATTGAGATGCTGCGCTGTGCAAAACTACATAAGGAGAAAATGCAATCAAGTACTTTATTTCCTAACAAGTCACATGACACCATAGACATCTCATGAGCTGAGGCTCAGTTAGGGTTGTATAGATATATCTAATTTTGTAACCCCCTTCCTGTATATTTGGTTTACTGCAAATAAAAAGCAAAGGTTATTAATGTGATGCTAACAGTTGGCTATAAAATACACTTAAACATAAACCGCAAGCTGATTTAGACAAGACCAATTGCAGATGTACAGTATATATCCCTTAAGACTCATCTCTTCAGGGAAGCCTATCCCCCCTCAAACTAACCACTCAACCATCACATTCTCAAACAATTCATCCCAACACAGCTACCTCCTCATTTATCACTCGTCCCTCCCTTTTAGATAGTGAGCCCTCACAGGCAGGGCCCTCCCTACCATATTGTATTGTAATGTCTTCCTTATATTGTAAAGCGCTGCCCAAACTGTTGGCGCTATATAAATCCTCTATAATAATTTTAGAATTTAGGAAAACTGAGATATTTGTGCTAAAACTGGCCCACAGCATTCTATTCCACTCAAAAGTGATGTTTCAGTTTGGATTGAAGCTCCTACTGACTGTACACCCTTGTGGCAACCTCTCTGAAAATGTGATTTAAAGTGTGAATACCTTCTGAAGCCTCTTTCTGGTAGATCTTCGGATTTTGTACTTAAATGCAGCAGGAACATTGAGACTTAATGGTAAAAGGTGGCAGAATCAACTGTCAGGTATGTCTCAAATTTGGAGCCCCAGAGTTATAAGGTCAGGACTGAACTGTGACCAAAACCGAGCCATGGTTGCTTCAATTACTTGCTCCAATCACTTGCTTAATGACTGCAATTAGGGATGCACCGATACCATTTTTTTGGTATAGAGTACCGATTTTTATTTTTTTTCGGTACTCACCGATACCGAGTACCGGTGTATTGTGCCCTGATTATCAGGAAGTTGGGCAGCTAGTCGTAAGGTGTCATCCAGCTTCCTGATTGGTCAGGAAGCCAGGCTGCCTAGCAGCAAGAGAAGCTGGCGTCCTAGCCAATCAGAAGCCGGGTGGCACGTCATGACCCCCCCTCCCGGCTTCACTGTTCCTAGGTCAGCCCGGTCAGGAAGCTGGGACGTGGGTTATTACGTGCCGCCTGGCTTCCTGATTGGTTAGGAAGCCAGGCTGCTTCGCAACACGTGAAGCCGGCTTCCTCATTGGCTAGGAAGCCGGGCTCCATGCTCCCTCTGCACTGCTGGTCAGAGGGAGATTTCCCTCTGACCGGAAGTTCCGGTATCAGGGGTAAGTATCGGAGCATTTGGGCAAGTACGAGTACTCGCCCAAATACTCTGTATCGGCGCGGAGACCGATACTAGTATCAGTTTCGGTGCATCCCCCGCTGTGAAATGTAATCTGGAATTGATTGTGCTCACTGCGATTTTATGTGATTGATCACAGAAGATCATGGACACCTGCAGTCAGCTATTGATCCGTGAACAAATTAATGGGCATGATAAATTGTGTTCATTCATGGGAGGATTGTAGGCACATGTATTTGTATAGCCGGATTCCCCTATAGATTTAGCATCAGTATTGTAACACTTTGTTTTGTCTCAGTTGTTGGATAGCAATATTTGTACTAGAAGTTCAGGTTTCTGATTTAACTGAAGGAAAAATAAAATCTAATTTTGGATCTTCCAGGTACTGTCGACTAAGAAACTGGAACACTCTGTATGTGTGTGGGACAGATGAATATGGCACAGCCACTGAAACCAAAGCAATGGAGGAAGGGCTGACCCCACAGCAGATCTGTGACAAGTACAATGCTGTCCACACTGCAATATACAAATGGTTCAACATCTCCTTTGACTATTTTGGCAGAACAACAACATCACACCAGACGAAGTAAGAATTTAGTCTTGTCTCTTTCTCTCTTCTTCCCACTTGTAAAGTGTATGCAAACCCCAGCAATTAACTTTTTTTATTTGCTCCCCTTTTGGTCTGTTAGATAAATTTAACATTGAAAACATTTTTAAATGGCCTGGATGGGAAGGGGGTTTAACACCGCGGATGTCAACTGGTTAATAAATGCAAACAAAAAATACCTGTTGATTGTCAGAAATGAGCCAATAACTTTCTGTGCTGCGTTATTAGTGAGCATCTTTCCAGTTCTGCTTACTACTGTATACCCCTCCTCCTATGCTATTCAAGTGAGGAGAGGGGGAGGTGTTCTGTAATAGGGAGACCTCTTTATATACTGTACTGTGCATGAGTATTGTCACTCTTAGGACAGGATGTGTGTTACTGACAGGTGGTAATCTGGTAAGAATAATGAGGAGGGAGCGTGAGAAAAGGCAAATGCAGCTATCGCATGTAAGGCATAGTATGCTGCAATATGATTTTTTTGTTTAGATACAAAAAGAAGCTTTAAAAAGTGTATGTTTGTTCATAAGTTTTATAAAGAAGTAATTATGCTGGACAAAAAATGTTGGCTATTTTAAGTAACAGACCGCCAACAGTATCCCATTTGTGCAGTAGGTCAATGGAGAAAAATCATGTTCATAAAAAGTCACCCATTATAAACTGATAATTATTGTTTTTGGAGTGTGGTGAGGAAAGCTGTATTTCTTATATTTATAGAACCCTAATGTAATGCACAGCAAATTACAGAGTGCATATGAATCTATTCACACCAGTTCCTGCCTGGGAATGGTGCTCACAATCTTCTGTTCCTAAAGCTGACAATTAGAGTTTTTTGGCAGAATAGACACGCCAAGTTTCTTCTGCCAAAAACAGCTGCTTCTAACTTATCTCTTGTGTGCATTGTGCAATGCACTCCCCCTGGTCCTTCCCAGCATCTGCAGTGTGCTAGTAATGGAGGCGGGTGTCGAGGATAATGTAACTCCTGTGTGCATGCGCAGAAGAGGCATCATCACAGGCAGTCTGGTGCTCAAATAGAACAACGCGTAACCAGAAGAAGCAACGGAGGATGGACAGAACAGCAGCTCACAGCAGATCGGTCTATTGTGCATACTTGCATATTATGGCAAAAGCCCACCTGCCATAGGTTGCACAGTTTAAGCCTTTTGTTGCCATAGAAGTTTCTGCATTTTATTTTAAACGCGTTAAAATGCACATTTTAGGCCAATAGAAAGTAGATTGCAAGAGCACACCTGCCACAGCTGACTTTATTTCCACTGTATGCACAAGAGCCTGTGTGAGCCTGAATGGATCTAAATCAAATTGATTGTGGGAGGACACCAACCCAAATATGTCAATTATCCAGACCCCAATGATATAGTGTTCTGGTTGTCATTGTAGGACCCAGATCTGCAAGGCAAGAGTGCTAGCCATTTTATCAGCATAAAGTGTTTGTTTTTAATGGAGGTCATCAGGTGATCTTTACATATCTCCATCTAAATTGGGCTGTCACTGTAAAGTTTTACCTAATGGCTAGAGCCCAATATACTCCACCCAAAATAGTGTACAGTTTTTCCTGCAATTTGCAATTTCCCTATAATTTGTGAAGTTATGAAGAAAATGAATGCTGGTGTATTTCATGGCAATGAAGTAACGTGTGCATGTTCTACAGAATCGCTCAGGAAATCTTCCATCGACTACTGGAAAGAGGCTTCTTGTTGAAAGACACTGTGGAGCAGCTGCGATGCGAGACCTGTCAGAGGTTCTTAGCGGATCGTTTTGTGGAAGGAACATGCCCTTTGTGTAACTATGAGGAGGCCAGAGGGGACCAGTGTGACAAGTGTGGAAAACTTATCAATGCTGTAGAGTTAAAGGTACTAGCAGAAATGCCTTTTCTGCATCTGTATGTGTTTTTATAGTGGGTGATAATTTGGTTCATCTTTGTCAGTCTCTGGGTATTTGTATGCCAAAAGTTCAGAACAAAAAGTCCAAAGCATGCAGCAGATGATGAAGGGCAAATGCCTTTTCCAATGCTTTTTTTTTCTCCTTACTAAAGATCTTTTTTTCCTTCAAGACTGTTCTCTACACTGCTGCTACTAGAGCTTTTCTGTTTTGTTTAACCCCTTCGTGACGGGAGACGTACACTGTACGTCCAGCCACAAAGGGACCAAATGACTTGTCACGTACACTGTACGTGACGAGTTATTTGCTGCTTTAGAGGGCTGTTAATCGCTGAGAATCAGCTTTTAACATTCATTAATGGATGCCCTTACTACAGAGGCATTCATTAATGAAAGGGTTAACCTTTTTCAGACACCCGATACCTTAATATCGGGTGTCTGAGAGTCAAAGCAAAGCGGACACAGATGCCGGCTTTTGCCGGCATTCTGACAGCTCGTATAGATCGAGAGATATCTCTCTCAAGCTATACTGGCTTTTTTTTTTTCTTTCATGAATAGATACAAAATGTGTCTATTCCTACAATGTATCTATTCCTGGAAGAAGAATGTTTGTTTGCTGATCGTTGTTGCAACAATCAGAAAACATTTAGTAACAGCTGAATCCTGAACTGCTGCAGGATCAGTGTCACTAACTTATTATCGGCTGTTCTGAAGTTTGAAGCAGCCTGATAATAACCAAAAATTTATTAATTTATCATGCAGTAACAGTGAGATTAATTCACAAAATCTGCTTGATATAATTAAATAAATAAAATAACATTTTTAAGTTTAAAAAAAAGTGAAAAGTGTAAAAAAAAAAAAAAATTGTGAAAAGTGTAAAAAAAAAAAAAAAATGTGTAAAAAATAAAATAAAATAAGGGACAAATAAATGAATGTATTTATTGCATTTTTTTAGCTGTGCTGGTTTTGTAAAAAAAATACTACAAATCAAAACTGGGAAAAAAGTGTTTTTTTTAAACGTTTTTTTCCTCTTTTTTTATATTTTATTTGTCTTAAGTGAAGCGTTAGACGCACATATGTGATATAAATATGTAGCCCTATCTGTCCTCTAAAAAACAATATATAATATGTGTGGGTGCACTTTGTAAGAAAGTATACTACTGACGTGGAAGAATCACACAGCAAAAATGTCAAGTGTGTCAGTCATTTACGAACAAACTAAAAACAAGCTCAGTCATGAAGGGGTTAAAGCTGTTTAGCGCAGTTGCCTTCAACCTGGCTTTTGGAGTGCATTGCCTCAGTGCTTGTCTTGTCTCTGAAGACTCCTTATGTGAGTGGGCCAGTCGGGTCAAGCACCAGAAGCGATCTCAAGTACTTGGGTCTCTTGGCACCTTTTTAAAATTCCAGGTTTCCACTGCGGAAAGGGTTATCGGTGTGGGACTGAGTGGAGTGTCCCATGTATGTGCTATTTTCCATCTTCCTGCTTCTTTGCAAAGCAGTGGCAGCTGAAGCCCCCACACCAAATCCAACAAGTGAAACAAATGGCAAACACGCTCATCAATTCATAACTAGCTTTAAAACAAGGTGCACATGGAAGGACTTTACACAGCGCAAAAGAAAAGATAAAGCTAGTTATGAATTGATGAGTGTTTGCCATTTGTTTTACTTGGATTTGGTGTGGGGGACACACTGGGGGCTTTAGCTGCCATTGTGATGTGCTGGGCATCTGGGGTGTCCCTGTACCTTTTTAAGGAGGTTGGGCTACCTCTTGACAAACTTGCACCCAATTCATCCTTTGCTATATATGCTCCGAGATGGAGCCTCTCCTAGATTAGTTAGGACCACACTACACAAAGGGGCCTTGACGAGGCAGTGTGGCGTCCACATATTTTTCCTACATTGGCGTTGTACGTTGGCATCTTATTATTAACACAGTGCGTACAAGAGCACCACAACTAACATGTTTATGTCTTAATAGGCATTAAAAAAATGCCCCTACTGGATATTCCCCTCCCAGTGAGAACACTGTCACTGGAACACGGGTATGTTCCCTAACAGAGCCATCTGACTGGATATAAATTTATTTCCACTCTATTAAAAAAAAAAAGTTTTTGTCTGAAGCTGCACTAAAACTTTGGTGTGAACAGAACTTAAACCAAAATGTAAAACTTTAAATCACATTCTGTACACATTTTGTTGGCCTGTTGTGGTTGATTCATCTGCTGTACTTTATTCACCAAAGTGTTTGACATAAGGAAGACAAAAGCCTTCAGACAGTTTGAGAATGAGGGCATCTTTACATGGAATAAAGTTTGCATGTTCTCCAGCCCACTTGCAGCGTTAGCTAAGTATCAGACCAGACTTTAGGGTTGGGAAGAGTGTAATGTGCAGTATATTCATATAGAAAGTCATTCTGGCATTGTTTAACACTTGTATTTTTTTTTCTTTACAGAGGCCTCAGTGCAAAGTGTGTAAGCAGTCTCCTGTAATTAAATCAACAGAGCATCTTTTCTTAGACCTGCCTAAGGTATGTCACATTCTGAGAACATCTTCCTTTTTCCCCCCTCTGTTATAACAGAGAGAAACTTGTGCTTATTCTAGGGCTGGTAATTATTAAAATTTTCGTGTTGGATTAATCAAACATTTTTAATCGATTAATTTCGATTATTTTTATAACGCACATACAGATCCAACTACATTGGCCTACACACACACACTCAAACAGTATGAGTGGAATTTATCAAAACTGAAGCAAAAGTATCTGAAGCAGTTGCCTATGACAAGCAATCCGCTTCTCTCTTCAGTTTGTGCAGTTAAGGTTTAAAAATAAAAGGTGGATGCTGATTGGTTGCCATAGGTAACTGCTCCAGATTAGGTAAATAGGTAAATTGTGGAGTCTGGTGATGTCACCGGACTCCTCCCCCTTCCCTACGTTAGCCGATGGAGCCACTTGGGGAAGGGGAGGAGTCCGGTGACGTCTATGTCCGTGACGTCACCGGATCTCCGACGGAACTCTCGGAAGACGGCGGTGGGGCGAGTACCGATCAAAAGAATTTTGATTGATCAAAAAAATTAACAATTAATCGAGGGATTAATCGTTAATTTCTGCAGCCCTAGCTTATTCCAATTATTTATTAAAGTGTATCTAAATATTTTTTTGGGATATAGCGTTGAAGGGTTTGTTTGTATTCCCTCTATGTAGATTCACTCTTTATCTGTCCTCACGACCATTGTCACTGGGACGAACAGTGAAGGGAAATCAAAAATTTTAAGTTCTAATTAGAAGAAGAATAGATGGAGTTATTCTAATAGTATTTCCCTCACTTTCAAATATTCCTTTCAGTTTTTGCTGTGTCCACAGGACAAGAAATAAGGGGCCACAACTAGGGATGTTTAGATACCAAGTACCTTACTTAGTACATGTGCAGATACTTTTCCAAGACCTAGACTAGAGAAAAACTCAAAAGTTAGGAGGCAGCTGTTCTTTTTAAGGAGCATACGGGGCTTCTGGGATTTGTGCATCCCCTTTTTTAATGTATTTGTTGTATTTATCTAGCTATCATCAATTACTGATACATTTTTGTTTATGGTCATGTGATAGTTTTCCTAAAACGATACAGACTAATGATTACAGAACAGTAGTGGAGTGCCAGGGCCCAGTTACAACTGCAAACGCTGCGACCCTGGTAGTTCTCGTGAAAAGGCCAAGTATCTGCACTGATATCTGAACATCCCTAGCTAGAAACCATTCCATCCTTTATCCAAAATGAGAAAATTTAGATATACTTTAAACAAGCTTGTCTGCTGTCAATGCTTCTCTTTGGATATATATAATATGTTATCAGACTAGGAGTGGCCAGTGAAATTATGAGAAATGGGGATATCCCTCTACTTGTAATGTAGAAGTTCCACAGTTAAGGACCTCTTTATTTGTGTTATTGTATAATTCATAAATGGGTTTTTCTGTGTGTATCTTAATTGGGTTTTTTGTTTTGTTTTTTTGACAGTTAGAAGAACGTCTGGAGAAATGGTTAGATCAGTCCCTTGCAACTGGAGATTGGACTGCCAACGCCCGTTACATAACCCGTTCCTGGCTCCGTGATGGCTTAAAGCCACGCTGTATTACTAGGGATCTGAAGTGGGGAACACCCGTTCCATTGGATGGCTTCAGGGACAAGGTCCATCCACTATACCTTACTAACTTCCTACTGAATTGGGGAACTTCATGACTTCCAGAACTATTGATTTTTTGATTTTTTTATTAACAGGTTTTCTATGTTTGGTTTGATGCCCCAATAGGCTATATTTCAATTACAGCCAATTATACAGATGAGTGGGAGAAGTGGTGGAAAAATCCTGAGCAGGTAACCACATTGTAACTGAGCACCAATTTTCCCTGCAACCTTTTAGATGCAAAGCATAATCTCTTCCGCTTTGATTCAAGAAGTTTAGCTTCTAAAACACATATAAGCAGTGTACTGTTAGTGTGTATGTGGGCATGCACCTTTTTATTGCTTTAGAAAGACTTATGTCATAGACAGCCTGAAGGTTCTAAACTTGCAACTACATTATCTACCTACCGTTTAGTATCCAAATGACTGGTGAAGCTGCGGTGGCTGCCCTCTCAACAGGAGGTCGCCTCACTATCCCGCAATGAGAATGCTGTAACGCCACAAGGCTGATTGTGAAGTTAAAGTCCAGCCTGGGTGACAACCACAGCTGCATCCATAGATACAGTTGAGTTGTGAGCGTAACCACCCAAAGACAGAAAGTGTGTTTTTAGCAGGATTGCCAGGTCAAATAAGGGGAAAGAAGATGAAAAAATAAAACTAATGTACAAACGAATATGTTTATGGGTTTATATACGCTTTAATGTCTGGTCATAGAAATCGGTGAGCATCCTGTTTGTCTGCTATGTGAATATGAACTACAGGAAGGGTACATTGTGTTTTAATGTAAAGCAGATGGGTGTTTCAAAACCTTTTACTAATTTTTATAAAGTTTCTATAGACATAAAAATCATATATCCTAAAAATAAGTTGAGGGAGCACTGTGAGTGACACAGGGGATCGACACTCCATGTGTGTTCAGAAGTTACTCTAGCTGAGCATTTCTCTACAATAGAGCAGCATGTAGCTCTCAGGCAGCAGGTGAGCTGAGTATTGTTTTCCTTTAGCAGCTACTTTATGTAAGGGATACAGTATCGAGTACTTGGCAGGGGCATCCTAACTTAGGGTTTTATACAACCACCCTGGTGGAAGATGGTATTCCAGTAAAACAAAGGTGTGGAAGAAGGTGTAGGCTGAACATGCATGGTTTCCTGTATCATGCATTTATCGATGAGCACAGATTTTTTTATTTTTTTCCAACAAGTTCATATATGTAGTTAAGCCAAGTGTGTGTGTGTGTGTGTGTGTGTCGCAATGTATACATTTTGTTTTTAATTAAAGGAGTTCTCTTTTTTTTTTATAATATTGGCCTTATGTTTTTAACTTCTGATGTTTCCAGGTCCAACTCTACAACTTCATGGCAAAGGACAATGTCCCTTTCCACAGTGTCATTTTTCCATCATGCCTCCTGGGAGTCGAGGACAACTATACAGTGGTCAACCATCTTGTAGCCACAGGTAAACTTGACCAGGATATCCTGACCAATATAAAAACCGTAATCCTCGGGTGGGTGCTGCAGTGACTGGATGGAGCTGCATGTAATCAGAAATGGAAGTCACCAGCCCACCAGTCTCCACTCTACCATTCCGTTTACCATTCCACTCTACCAAGTCACTTTGTTTGCCTGATGAAGGAACCTATTTGTTTCTGAAACGTTGCCTCTCAATGTGATGTTATGAGCATCCAACGTCAATAAAGATGGAATGGTAGAGTGAAGACTGGTGTGCGATTGACTACTATTTTTTTTTACTTATATAGGACCCATGCACACTGTGACTCTTACTGTCCTATTCTTGGTCTAACCAGCGCTGTACTGCAACGCATTACAGTGCTTTTTTTTTCTTCTAAACTTTAATATTATATTCCATTGGACAACGCAGCCCAGTGCTGCTGGTGTAACTGAGCCCTAAAGGTAAATAAGAAAAACATTCCTTGCCTTATTTTGTTCATCATAATATAGTAGAACTTTCTGATTCATTATTCTTTCAATTAAATGGCAGCATATTGTACCACTGAAAATCTTTTCATTGTATATGGGAAAATGTTAAAAGGTTTTAATTACAACTTAAAATGACTATTTCAGAATCTGTTAATAGGAGCTGTCATTCCCTGACATGAGTCTGTCAGAATGCAAAACACCCATGTCGGAAACCTCTGATAGAAGCAGCCAATCCCAAATTAGCAGTAGCATTGTTTTAGAACGAGAATTGCAATTGCAGGTTTAGGTATGTTAGCAGAAAAGTACAGCTTTCATTTCTGTCTTAAAGTGTTTGTGGGTCAGGATTTTTGCTATTTACATACCAAAGGAAGTATTAGTATTTTCATATGTTAAAGTTTCAGAAAGTTCATGGTGTTCCTAAATTCTTATTTTTCTTCACAGAATATTTGAACTATGAAGATGGTAAGTTCTCCAAGAGTCGAGGAGTGGGTGTGTTTGGTGACATGGCTCAGGACACTGGTATCCCAGCTGACATTTGGAGATTCTATCTGTTGTATGTGAGACCTGAGGGACAGGACAGTGCATTCAGCTGGAGTGATCTGATGCTAAAGAATAACTCTGAGTTACTGAACAACCTGGGAAACTTTGTTAACAGGTACAGAACCTTGGCATAATATATTATTTGTTAAATGCAGCTTGCTAAAATGCTTTTCAGATTGGTCCATAGAAGGTATGTGTTTGTGTATATGATAAGCCATGTTAATGGTGTAAAAGCAATATACGATATTTGCAGCACCTTAGAAGATGGTCAGTAATGGCTGCCATAGCCTTCTGTTGGTAGTTTGTGTATAAAGGTCAGGTCATGAAAACAAGCTAAAAGAAGCAGTCAGCCGACAGTGTCCCTAACAGCCAGTGACAGTGAGCAGAGCCTGATGGGGATGCTGAACGACTAGTTCACCATCAGGTCTGCTCTGCTACTGATTGACAGCAGGCAAGTGGGTGGATTCCGTAGTCAGTAGCAAGCGTTCATTTGGCTATGGAATCCACCCACTGCCTGCTATCGGTAACAAGGGAAGCAGACCTAATGGGGAGTTAGTCTCTGCGTTCCCTATCAAGCTCCACAGTCTGCCTCATTGGTCGCTAAGTAGCTGTGCAGCTGACAGTGTCTTGGCAACCAGTGATTCATCCCTGGCCCCGTTTAGCTGCCAGCGAGGAGATTCTCCGGCAGACAGCTGAATGTAGACAAAGGGACGAGATGCTGGGTGAGATCGTTACCAAAGTTTGGCCATGGCCATATTTTGGGCATCTCTTGGCTGGCAGCCGAATGGGGTCAGGGATGCATAATTGAAAGCTAAGATGCTGGCTCCTGGGTGTCCTAGCCGCAATGATCCAAATGCAGAAAGCTGTCATTCATGTCCGCTTCCCAGCACATACATGCCCCATGCTGAGCATTGGCATTTGTACGCCAGATCAGAGTTAGTCTTAATTGCTGCCAGTTTCCTAATCTGTAAACTGTCTGCAATTCTTTTTTGATCTGTCACAAGTTCTTAAAGTGGCAATAGTAAGAACTACCTGAATCTATCACACATGTCGGAACTGAAACTGTCGTAAGGATTTCATGAATTAAGCACAGGTTTTAGGGCGAGCATTATACCGGTAAAGTGTTGTACATGCTTTACTGAGTTCCGCCTAGTATCTTCATTGATGGGACAGATATTTTAAGTTGTAGATTTAACTGACTTTGCACCAGGGTCACCAAGGATGGTGGACCCTTAACCTGGTTCAGTGCTGACCAAAGCATCTTGATTTTCATCCATGTGAACTGCATACGCTGTACCCATAGTCCTTATCCCATTTACACCTAGGAGTCTTTCCACTGCTTTGTATATACAGATTGCCCTAATTCTGCATCCTTATTTTATGATCTGAAATAAATTACATTATAGTCATGAAAAATCAGTTGTGAACATATTTTCTTTCAAACAAGTATTTTTATTAAGAAAGTAAATAATTCTAATACAGAAACAACATTCACAAGTAGAAGAATAAAAAATATCAGTGAATGTTTTTCTAACGATCACATAATGCACATTTCAGCCTTCAGTTGTCATGCTGCTTCCAAGGGATAAGTTCCACCATTTTATGATCAGTGGGCGCTGCGGTAGAATAGATCCTCGCTCAGACAATTCCTGCTGATTCTAGGTTCTATGACATGACATCATGGTCTGCTGGCACTTGATCTTCTTTTTTTTTTTTTTTTTTTTTTTTTTTTTTTTAACCACCTACAACAAAATTTTTTTTTTTTTTTTTTTTTTTTTTTTTTTTTTTTTAACCATTTAGCAGCAAAATGTGTTTTTTGCTGATGGTAACTACTGACCAATCATGTAACAACTGAATTCTACAACACGTGTATGCTAATTACATGGGAGGTATGTTAGTCAGTAGGAACAAACGTGTGTTAGGGAAGTTAAAGTGAAGTGCATCCTCTGCAGCTCTTTATATTGTATGTCAGAGGATTGTGTATGTCGGAGAATGTCCGTGGATAAATCTGATTTATACACTTGCACTAGAGAGTTGGATTCATCGGTGCTTGGTCACAGAGGGGACAAGTACATCCCTGGCTCCCTTTTTGCCTCCTTTAGAACATTTTCAGGACATACTCCTAAAGTTCTGTCCTCCCCATTGTGCACATTTGAGCACCAGTCAGCTGTTGTGACCTGCCTCTAAATTACACTCCAGAGAAGTGGCTTTTTTGACGCTCATGGTTACTTTAACACCATGTGTCTCCTTTTTCTTTCAGGGCAGGCATGTTTGTGCAAAAATTCTTCAATGGCCAAGTTCCAGAGATTGAGTTACTTCCAGAGGACAAGAAACTCTTGGCTCAGGTCACGGCAGAGCTACAGCAGTACAACCAGCTGCTGGAAAAAGTTCGGTAAGTCCTCTCCCTGTAGACCCTACCTTTTTATAGTGGGTAAAGAACTGGCAGCTATAAAGTACATGGGAACTTTTTTTTACCAATTTTTGCAGGATCCGTGATGCCCTGAGGGCTATTTTGAACATTTCTCGTCATGGGAACCAGTATATACAAGTGAATGAGCCATGGAAATGTATTAAAGGGACACAGCAAGAACAGTAAGTGTGTTGCTTTACTTGTCTTAATCAGGGTTACTGGGCAGGTTTATTACATAGACTTTGTATATTATTAATTGTTGGCGAAACACTTGCATCAACAGGAACCCAAGAACATTTTCCATCAATAACCCTTTATGTGTAGGTATGCAGTACATTGGCTCTGGCATATTTCAGCTGGCTCTGATTGCCTTAACCGCTTGAAGACCAGGTGTTTAGACCCCCTTCCCATCCAGGCCATTTTTCAGTGTTCAGCGCTGAGGTACTTTGACTGACATTTATTCCGTCATGCAACGCTGTACTGAAATGAATTGTGTACCATTTTTTGGGGACAGATAGAACTTTCTTATGGTGGTATTTAATCACCACTGGGGGTTTTATTTTTTACTATATTCAGGAGAAATTACTGAAAATTTTGAAAAAAATAAGTTGTTTTTTTTTACATTATGTTATAAAACAACTAATATTACCCACTTTTTTGGTAAAATATAAAAGACGGGGTCACGTCGGGTAAATAGACTCCAAACATGTCAAGCTTAAAAATTGCGCGAAATAGCAAAAAACTAGCATTCCCAAAATTGGCCATAGGCGACGCTTTAAAAGCTTTTACAGCTCATCAGTTTAGTGTTATCAGTGATTGATGGCCCTAGAACTATTGCTCTCATTCCGACGTTCGCGGCGATATGTAACATGTGCGGCGTAATGGACTCAATTGTCGTTTTCGCAGGTATGCGCATCTGATGCATGTTTACATGTGTGTATGTAGGGGTGGGGACTTTTTTAAAAAAATTGTTTTTTTTACGTTTTTTATTTGTAACTTTAAAAAAATTTAGGGGGGACCTTTTTAAATTTTTTTTTCCTATTTTTTTAACTTTATTGCTATCACAAAGGGGGCTGAGAAACCCCCCTATGTCATAGCAGAAGAGGTGACAGGTCCTCTTTATGGAGACATCAGGGGTCTCCAAGACCCCTAATGTCACCTAGGACCCCGCTGATGAAGCAGAGATCTGCTTCATCAGCTTCTCTCCAGCATCTGAAGCTGGAGAGTGACACGAGAATGCGGAAGTGATGTAATATACACCACTTCCGCATTCTGACAGCGGAGAGGGAGATCGTGAACCGACCTCCCTCTGATCCCCTGTGACAGAGGCGGTATGCTGGTCCCGGGCTCACACCGGAGCCCGGGACCAGCTTGACAGCGGGAGGGGGGGAGCCGCGGAGGGGGGGCGCACGTCATGGGACCTCATACAAGCGATCCGCCGGCTCTATAGACGGCGGATCGCTTGTATATTAACAGGCATCGCTGCCTGTTTTCAAATAACGGGCATCTCCCGCTGGCGCGCCCAAGCGGGCGGATGTAACAGGATGTGTATACACGCCCAGTTACATCCAAGAAGCTCCCGGCCGGCCGTGTATACACAACGGCCGGCCGGGAGGAAGTTAATGACGAGGAGTAACTGGTTGTCTTCTAAAGGGATGACTGTAACATTTTATCAAGATTTCATTTTACCAATGTATATTTGCAGGATCTGTGCTACACAAGTTTATTTAACTTTTTTTTTTCCATTGCAGGAAACGTGCAGGAACAGTAACAGGATTGGCTGTAAACATGGCTGCTTTGCTTTCAAACATGCTACAGCCATACATGCCAACAATCAGCTCCGTCATTCGAGAGCAATTACTTATGCCAGAGGAAGCTAATGTATTGACCAGTGACTTCCGCTGCATACTACAAAGTGGACATCGCATTGGGAATGTGAGTGAGCACCATATAGAAGTGTGTGTTACTTACTACAAACTGTATATAGTACTTTAAGAGTGAATGCTGACTATAGACAAGCCGGCACAAATCGGCTAATGTGCTTATACAACCATTGTTGGCCAAAGTGTACATGTTGTCAGATCTTTGGCCATTGCAGAAGGCAAGAAGTGGTCTCCAGCTGGTTAATAAGTGATTTTTTTTAAATCTCTCACAGGTGAGTCCACTGTTCCAAAAACTAGAGACTGACCAGATTGAGTCCTTGAGGAAACGCTTTGGAGGTGGCCAGGTAAGGTTTGTAGCTTCATAAGCAAGATGACCAGGGAATGACAATGAATTTTGTTCTTTTAAGTATTTTTTATCTGGTCACCATTTGCCATCTGTAAAAGTCTAAATCTCCACTGCAATTGCTTGAATTGTGATTTAGCTATGAGGGCAGCGATGTCGGGCTAGAAAGCTGTTCTGTCAACTGCCTGAGCTCAGCACTGATAAGACACTGCCAAAAACTGTCATATTATACTGGTGCTGTACGGATTACATGAGTAAAACAAAGTGATCACTGTCTGAACTGCTGGAAGAGAGTAAAACGTTTAGGTTGTTATGCAGGCATACAGCCTGACACTAGACTGACATTAGTTCTCTCACAAGAAGAGAATACCAGAGTACATATTACAAATGTCCAATACCGACTAGTTCTCTTAAGAACAAATTATTGATTGGGTCTTATTTTTTAAAGTACATTTCATGGGATCTATCATTAAAAAAACAAACTTGAAATGTAGATACAGGAAGGGGGTGGGTGGTCTCTCTATAAAAAAAAAAAAATGCAGGTATTTTATTTGCATCATTTGAATGTGTGATCACTCTTGTGGACAAAATGGTGCCATTTTAAACTGCGCTCCTGTCCAAGTTATTTGTTATGACTTCAAATCTGTAACCACATGAAAGTATCTGTAACCATCCACATGGTAAGTGCGTACCTCCTGGTCCTGGTTTGCACAAACTTTTGACATTTGTGTACTACAATGTCTACCACAGTTGTGTAAACTGCATTTATACAACCACCCTGGTGTAATAGTTAGGGCTCTTTCACTGGTGTGTTGAGAATTTATTAACTTCACACACGTGTGAAAGAGCCCTAAATATTACACAAATAAGATACATTGTTATCACTCGGCTGTAGATCCTGAAATCATCTCTGAATTGGTGCTGACACTGCCTTTCCTTCTGGATGGTGGTTACTTTTGTTCCCCATTGTCCCTGTGTGTGTTGTAAAGTAGCTACCGCTCCAAGCTTGCTCCCGTCTCTACAATCTCACAATTAGGCAATTTGTATTGAAGTTATAGTCTATGACGAGAGTGAGCTTGGAGCGCTGGCTACTTTACAACACACACAGGGACCATGGGGAACAAAAGTAGTCACCCTCCAGAAGGAAGGACAGTGTCAGCGCCAATTCAGAGATGATTTGAGGATCTACAGCCGAGTGATACACACATAAGATACATTTTTTTGTTGATAAAGTACTTGAATGTATTTTTAAGATTTAACTCCCGAGTTTAGCGTCACCTTAAAGAGGAACTGAACTCTGAAAGCTGTAGCCCCAAAAAAAGCCAGAGGGGAAAGGACTCTTCACCAGTTTTGCTTGAGGGTCTCCCTGCAGTCGATTTTTCCCCATCACTGGCTTGCCATGCCTTGTTCTACATTGTATCTTTTTTTTATGGTACTCGTATAGCAAAGCAAATCTTCACTTCTTGAATTCAGGTCCACTTTAGGTAGTTATGTCTTCCTCCTCTTCTGTACTACTACTTTCCACTTCCTTTTTTTCTTTCCATCAGCTGGATGCTGACAGTAAAGAGACGCAGGTATTTCTGCATGCTTTGCTAAAAATTGCATGCCAGCTTAATTTCCATTTGTTACAGTTGTTCATTCATACAGCTTTAGTCTGTCACAATGTAGCTTTGTCTATTTAAGTTCTTACCGAGTGTGCCGGTCTGCTTTTGTTGGCTTTAGAAAGAAGATCATGGTTTGTTAAGGTAAATAGTACACTGATGCCGCTTATTCAGTAACGAGGACCAATATTTATCTTTCGGGGAATCGCTGATAGCGAGTACCGGTACTTCCGCTAGCATGGAGCCGGCTTCCCAGGCAATCGGGAAGCCTGGTGGCGTGTCATTACCCGCCACCCGGCTTCTTGATTGCCTAGGAAGCTGGCTCCAAGCTGTTTGGCCGGCTTGATGCTGATTAGCCTGGAATGTGGCTTCCCAGCCAATTGGCATGGAGCCGGTTTCCAGGCCAATCAGAAAAGCTGGGAGGCGGGTCACTATCCCCCACCTGGCTTCCTGATTGGCCGGGAAGCTGGCTTCCCAGCCAATCAGCATGGAGCAGGCCAAACAGCATGGAGCAAGTAGTCTTTACCCGGTTTCCTGATTCGCTGGGAAGCCGGCTCCATGTTCCCTCATGGCGCGTTAATCTCCCTCTGACCAGAAGTTCCAGTATCGGAGCATTGGCTCAAATACTCAGTATCGGCACCGATACTAGTATCAGTATCATTGCATCCCTTGTAAAACGTAATCTATTTGCGCCTTATTACTCTCTTGCCTTAAAGTTATATTAAAGTCAAAAGGTTTTCAGCTATTTCAAATGCTGATGACATCACTTGCAATGAATGCTGCTCCTTCATGTTTAAAAGCTTTAGTTTCCTGCAGAATCAGTTGGTCCCCTGAGCACTGGTCCAGACTTCCTGTTTTAGAGTGACTCCTTTGTCAAGCAGAGTGCTATGCAGTTACACGTGTGTGTCCACAAACGCAGCAAATCAAGCTACTCCCCCCTCCAAGCTAGTAAATGAACAGTTGCTGGAGTCTACACTGTCTTTTGTGATTTTCGTACTGGACATAAAGTTCAGGGAAGCTGAGCGAGTTGGAAGCAGTTGTTCAGAAACATGATGATTGTAAGTGTTTTGGCAAAAATGTAAATAAATACTTTGCTGGACAATTTTATAATTTGATTTGGATTCAATATTGAAAAACAAGTTTGAGAGTTTTAATACTACTTTAAAGGGTTTCTAAACCCTCCGTTTTAGTTTTTTGCCTATATACTAGATATAGGCAAAAAGTTTTTTTTTTTAAACAAACGCTTCAACAGCAGTTTAAACTTACTTTATCGCTGCGCGCTCCCGCCCGAGAATCCGAAACTGCTCGATCGGCCGCAAAGCATCTTGGGGCGGGCGCAGTTCGGATTCTCGGCCAGGAGACGAGCAGAGACGCAAGGTAAGTCTATGGACGTGTGCACCTGCATGCAGACACCGTGGGGGATCATAACAGAGTCCCGGCGGCAAAAGTCACCGGGAGTCTGTTTAAACAGCCCCGATGCTGGCGACGTACACTGTACGTCGTCAGTCACGAAGGGGTTAAGAGCCATCATTTAAGGTGTTAACATTAACATGGGGGCGAGGGGAAAAAAAATGTTTGACTTTAATTTCACTTTAACAATAGTGACCTTCCGGCTTATTCTATATCACACAGTGGGCAAAGCAAGCTCTAACCTATGCCAGCTAACCAACTTTGTTCTTTGTTCTTTGCTATGCTTTGTTCTATGCTATGAGTTACATTTTGCACTGCTTTTATTGAATAAGCAAGCATGAGGTTTTTCTGTAACCATTTTTAAATACAAGTGTACATGAATCTGATGATGCCCACACACTCTGCTAAGCTGGTGCATTTAAATAGACACATCACATACACGTAGTATTTTACATTTTGAGGTTATGTCATGGTACTGGAGATATTGGGGTTCTTCACAGTAAGATCAGTTAGGGTCTGGAACTCACTGCCACAGGCGGTGATTTCAGCAAAGAATGTGGAATTGTTCAAGAAACTTTTGGACGATTTCTTAAGGGACCGTAATATACAGGGGTACAGGTACTCCTAGAATGAGATCCTAATAGGTTGGACTTGATGGACTAATGTCTTTATTCAACCTCAAATACTATGTAACTATGTTTACAAGATTAGGAATATAAATGGAAAAGGATAAAAAAAACGCAACTAATGAATAGTAGAGCTAGATGGTACAGGTTTGTTTATAGTAAAAGCTTTGGCATGTAGTGTAGGCTTGTCAAGGTTATTTGTAAGATAACAGCAGTGAATGCACAAATAAATTGGCACTAAACTATCCAAGCACTTGGAAGCTTCACTAGAAAAGCTACATAACAGCTTACATAGTGTATGTCTAGGCAAAGTGAGAGGGAATCTAACATTTTACAGGGTTATTCACTAAGGGGTGAAGCGTTTGGAGAAGTGAACAATCTATTCTAGTCCAAATTGCTGATTTGGGAAAATTCTCCAGTTCAGCTATGTTGTCCTAGATTGTTCACTTCTCCAACCTCCTCGCCCTTTTGTGAATAGCCCTGTAAGAGTTGTCCCCAGAACAAGAGGTGAGGAGAAATATTCCAGTGGGGTCAGCTAAAGCTGGCTAGATAAGGTACGTGTTTGGGATAGGCTGAAATCCATTCAGTGGGTAGCCTTCAATCAGAAAATGGAAGGCCAACCAGTGACCACAGCCAATCCTTTTTTTTTTTAGATATTCATTTTAGCGTCTATGTATATATTATAGCATTTTGTGGAGGGCACGGCTAAAGAAAATGCTGTCTTTCACATCGTGCCAATCCAAGTGGAGCACTTTGCTGGCTGTTAGAATGTATCTCTAACCAAACATTGTTGCTGAGAGCAGCACATGGTGAAAACAAGTGTAAAGGTGTATATTGGACCAAAAACCGTTTGAAAATCTGGCATTGAGATGAATCCTTTATTCTGTATTACAGATTAGTGATTCAGGGAACTGCTGGTAAATCTGACCATTCTTATTCCACAGGTAAAAGCACCAGCACCCACTCCAGAACCTGCCAAAGAAACGCCAAAGGTTGGTGACCCCCAGAGAATACAAGAGCTAACTCAGGCTGTGGAGAAACAGGTGAGGTGAAAGTGAATGCCTAGTCTGTAATTTGTGAGTGAAACATTTATTTCAACCCACACAGAAGGGGGTGTTTTTTTTTTTCTCAGACTTGAGATGCTCCAAAATAAAGATAATGGAATTTAGGGGTTTTCCCCAGATTTGGTTGCTTCAAACTAGAGCATGGAAATGGCTTTTCATATTGTGTTGCTGAAAACAGAATGGGAGTGTTTCCCTTTTCTGGATTGTGTATAGAAACCAGTCCTGTTAAGGACCACACTACTGTAAACAAAAGGTTTATATGCATATTTGGGATCTAATCCTAACGATATATAGAGTATGTTTTTTTGTTCTTTTAGCTGGAATTGTAGACAAGAAAATGACAGTCGCTGAATTTTCTTTATGGACAGGAAGTACAGGTGAAACTCGAATAATTAGAATATCGTACAAAGTTCATTTATTTCACTAATGCCACTTAAAGGTGAAACTAATATATGAGATTACATGCAAAGCAAGATAATTCAAGCCGTGATTTGTCATAATTGTGATGATTATGGCTTGCAGCTCATGAAAACCCCAAGAACCCCAAATCCACAACCTCAAAAAAGTAGATTATTACATGCAATCAATAAAACAAGGATTGTACATAGAACAATATCGGACCTCTGAAAAGTACAAGCATGCATATGTACTCAGTACTTGGTTTGGGCACCTTTTGCACGATATTCGAGTTTCACCTGTATCTCTGTTGGAACATCTTACCCTTTAAAAGGACATTCAATAGAATTCTCTCCTCATTGGATAGCTGCTTTGCAAAGGCTGTCATGCTTACCTTTTTCTTGATGTGTCATGTTGATTTATTCGCTTTCATACTTTACTGACCCAGAACACTTCAGGATTTCTCTTTTTATTATTACTACACTAGATTTATGCTTGTAGGTATGTGACTCCAAAAATCCAGATAGACAAATTGTGTATTTTCCAAACATCGATTTATTTTTAAAGGAGAACTATGGGGTTAGCGCTTTTCCCCATAGTTCTCCTAAGGGTAATGGGAGGACACAAACTAGCGTCCTCCCGTCACCCAAAGCTCAGTAGCTCGCGGTATACTGAGACGCCGCAGCCGGAACAGATCGCGACCAATGCTGTCTGGATTCACCCAGCTGCGTTAGTGACAACTAGGCGGCTCTGCCTATCTAGAGGCAGAGCTAGCTGTACTCGCCCACTCCCCCGTCCGTTCTGCCCATCAGCACCGGAGGATCGGGGGGAGGGAATCCCTACAGGGAGCCATGAGTGACAGTCACCGCTCTCTGCAGGGATAGATTGAGAAGTAAGCAAGCGATGGTATGTGTTCGCTCACTTCCCGATCTACTGAGCCGACCTGTGACAGTCTCATTGTCACAGGTCGGCTCAGATTATGAGGCTGAGTGAAAATCACTCACCTCATAGTTCTCTTAACTTTTTGGTTTTAATGGTTTCATAGCCATTGATGCCTGGGGCAAAATGCAGCAGTATCACATTGTAACTGACTAATTTGCCCAAGTCAATATTTTACATTTGAAACCCTGTGATACAGGTTTTGCCTATAGTTAGCTCTTTGTTTTACCCTTTTAAAAGAAAAAGATTCAGTAGGATATATAAATATATACAGTAATACCTCAGTTCAGCAAAACTTGTTTCTGCTCGTGAACTCAATCGAGTGGCGAACATGACCGTCTTCCCCGCAGACAGACCTGTGTACACTTGCTGTGAAGCTTTTTTTTTTTAGCACATACAGTATTTGGTTCACGACCAGAATCGTGGAATGAATTAAGTTTGTGAACCAAGGTACTGCTGTACATGTTTTTGTATTGCTATTCTGTTCTTTTTCAAGCAATAAATCTGATCTCTTTCTCAGGGTTATCATGTACGCGAGTTAAAGAGTAAGGCTGCAGAGAAGTCACTGATTGACAGTGAGGTGCAAAAGCTGCTGAAGCTGAAAAAAGACTTGGCATTGGCTGAAGGGAAGTCACCTGATCCACCTGCGCAGAAGGGGAAGAAAAAGAAATGATTTCTTTGCACTACAAACCATTACATCACATTTTGGAAAACCCTCAGCACTGAAGGGGTTAACATTGGGAACATGTTTTTAAAATAAACTATTAAGCTCCTTGTTTGTGGTTATAATGCGTCTAGTGTCATCTAAATGGAGATCGCTGTAATGTATTGCAAAGGATTGCATGGCTTGTTGAGTGTGTGTGTGTGTGTGTGTGTGTAACTAAGGAAAGAGGTGACTGCTCAATACTTTCACCATCAGTCTGCAGCAGCCAGGAGATAACTAGAACAGTGTTATAGCAACACCAATTACCTCTTCATCTTTCCCCAGAGGAGCCATTGTCGTCACATTTGAACTACTGCTAGAGAGAATACATGGTTAAGAAAGCTGCTTTTGTATTTAAAAGAGACAGTCTATTTCAGAGTAAAGTAATATTCTAAAGGACCCCAGAAAGACCAAACCACTGCTCCCTAATCCACCACACAGGTCTCACTGCTGGTGAGGAGAGTAGCATCCCTTTATGCAAAATATTTACTAGTTCTCAGGCTGTAACCAACTAATCATGAGAATAGTTGTCAACTATTCTCCATTATGGATTTGGTTTGATCCCTTTGCTCTCCTCCACCCTGGGATGAGGGCACAGCAAGCAGTTGCAGTAGCCGGCTATAGCAATTTGAAATGGCCAATAGCAGGCTGGGTATTGCACCAGCCCACTACCTGCTGTATTTACATTCAGCTGATGTCTGCAGAATCTTGCCACTGGCAGCTGTCATTCCCTGGCTGAAGCTATTCAAGCGCCATGTGATTTACAATACCAAAAAAAAATTAAAAGTGGGAAGTCATTTTCAGTAAAGCACCAATGTACATCTAATAGAAATCCTGGCAGCTTTAAAAAGGATTACTAAAGGCTGGGCATTTCTTACCTTCATACAGTCTGTTTTAAAAAGGTTAGACCTTTTGAGTCTCGTTGGGGTGCAGAGGAGGGGCATGGCCTGCCACAGTGCTTGTGTCTAATGGACACACGAGGGTACAAGCTTGCATGGGTGCTTCCATAGCTCAGCTGATGCAGGCACCTGTGCAGGGGGAGAGTGCTGTGGGAGCCACTAGAAAACAAAGAATTAAATATTTATAAAATGCTAAACTTGAGGTATGGGCCTCATTTATGAGGATGGGGGGGAGGAATCAAGTTTTATCACTTTAAGTGATCCTCAAAGCATGTGCTGCATAACTCAAAACCAAAAGCTATTGGCCTTAAGTCATTAGCGCTTGTTTCAAATAAAACAAGACATCCAGCAGCAACAAGTCAACTAAGAATCTGTTTTAACAATTGCTACACAGAATACTACTACCGTGTTTCCCCAAAAGTAAGACATCCCCCGAAAATAAGACCTAGTGTCTTATTTCATGCAAAAAAAAAAATAAGACACTGTCTTTCGGGGAAACACGGTATAGCAGTTTGATTTTAAAGCTAGTCCCATGCATTTCTGAGGAATCAAACACAGGAAATGCCGTTCTGCTAGTAGAGCTTTAGACCAAGAAAGGTTGCCACTGATGACACATTTTAAGGCTAACTGCCTCGTTGCCCTTGCTTTCAGTAAATTAGCTCGACCAAAACAAGCACACAGCTCGTTAAGTCAGAACCTCCAATCGCATACATTTGAGTTAGGTAATGATACAAAAGCACTAAAGCTTTATGAACAGCAAAACAAATTTAAAGAGGCAATCACAATGGCCTCCATGTTGAAAAAATATCTTATGTGGAAGATGAACAGCCACAACCCAAGTACACTAGGATATTAGGTTTATTTATAACCATTAACCTTCATGTTTTAAGGTAACATTTAAAAAAAATATACAGGCTTAGCAAAGAGGTGAAATGTTGCTTCAACCAGTTTGCAGCTTAGTAATGGCACAAAAAGAACACTACAAAACTATCATGCAAATATTTGTACTCATGCATATATATATATATATATATAATACCACAATAAAGTACAGTATATACAAGATGCTGACTATTCCCACAAGTCCACCTGTTAGTCACTGCAATCCTACTGCAAGAGCTGCAGATAAAGTTCAAACCATTCCATTTACGCAATGACAGACAACGTTCCATGCCACTCTTCCCATGCTTTTAACAAAGCAGAATTAAGCAGTTTGTATTCCTTTCAGTTTGTCAAACCTTCTTAAGAGTCACCATTCTTTCTATGAGAGCCTTCCGGGTCTTCTCTACTTCCAAACTGAGACGCTCAATCTCCCCTTTTAGACGCTCATTCTCAGTCATTAGATAGGAAACTTTCTTATCATTCTCATGCTCCTTTTCCTTAGCACGCACCTTGCCTCCTCTTGGCTGGGAGCTCCTCTTCCTCTTTGTTCCCGATTGGCTGCCACTAGATTCCTCATCTTCTGTCTGGGTTTGTGATGGAGGGCTGCTGCTGCAGCTAGAGTCCACCTCTACAGTTCCATCATGTTGGACATCTGTTACCTCAGAAGAGGCAGATGGAATATCAAAGTTATTTTGTGATCCCTGGTTTAAGAATTCCAGCACCTCAGAAGGTAACTGTTCCACTATAGCTTCCAAGGCAACTACATCCTCTTCTGTGAAACTGACAGGCAGAGAAGAATTAACAGAGTCCACTGTCCAAAGATAACGTGAGCTGTCCAGTCCTTCAACCTGCATCCCCTGTTTAAAGATAAAAGGTTAGTAATCTACACAAAACACAGGCCTTGCAAGGAACAAACTGCCAACCTCCCCAAATTGAGATGTCACTTTAGAGAAGAAACCCTCAGAAAGTCCTCATGCACATAGTGCTGGCTTAGTGAATGAAAGGGTTTGAAGCAAGAAAGACAAGCAACTAGTAAATTCACAATGAAGAGTCAGCAATAGCAGCAGCCGCCATGATTCTCAATAAAGGTTTCCTTTAAAGATGGAAGAATCCAGTGGGTGATCTGACCCATCTGTATCCACTTTTAACTGAAGAAAAAAAAAAGCTGGGTTTGCTTGATCCTTTAACCTCTTGCCGTCCGCCCGTTAAGAAAAACCGGACGGACGACTCCTATCTGCGGGTTGCCGTCGTCAGACGGCATTTTTTTCCTGCTCGCACGGGCAGGAAAGACCCGCTTGTTACTACAGCCGTTAACGGCTGTTTCACATACAACCAATCAGCGGCTCTATAGCCGCCGATCGGTTGTATGGCGTGAATTTCAGAGGGCCCCCCCACGCGACCGCGGGTGCCGCCATCTCCCCCCTCCTGACCCCTGACCTTTATTAGTGTACCTGTGCTATTACATAGGGGGATGGTATCCCTCTATGTAATAGCAATAACAAGAAGTGTAAAAAAAAAATCTATATAAATAAAAAAAGTTAAAAAAATAAAAGTCACAAATAAAAAAAGTA